CCCTAAACTTCCCCCCTCAAAGCCAGCGACCCCTAAACTACAAGCCAACCACCCCCAAACTTTCCCCCCACAAAGTCAGCCACCCCAAGAAAACTTCCCCCCACAAAGCCAGCCACCCCAAACTTCCCCCTGAAAGCCAATACCCCAAAACTTCTCCCACAAAGTCAGCCACCCCAAAACTTCCCCCACAAGAGTCAGCTACCCTAAACTTCCCCCCACAAAGCCAGCCACCCCAATACCCCTCAAAAGGTTCCCTCCAAGACAGCCCCGCAACCAGTAACCCGCCAACGCCTCCTTGGCCAATATCGCTGGCAGTGAGACCTGGATCATCACCTCTGGAGCCCCGTCCGCCAATGGCTGAGCACTTCAGTTTGCACCAGTGCTCAGGAACTGATCTGTGTGGGGAAGGGGGTGTATGTGCTGTGGAGGAGGGCTCAATTATGGGGGTATGACGTGGAGGAGGAGGGGTTTTAAAGTTATGTAGGGGGCAGTGGAAGAGGGTTCAAGCAATAAGGGCAGATGGAGGAGGAGAGGAGGATCTCAGAGATTATGGGGGTGGTGGAGGAGGAGGGGGCTCAGAGATTATGGGGCAGTGGAGGAAGAGGGGAGTTTAGAGATTGTAAGAACATTGGAGAAGAGGGTTCAAACAATGGGAGCAGTGGAGGAGGGAGGAGGAGGGATCTCTCAAGTTGTGGGGGCAGTGGAGGAGGAGGCTCAAGCTATGGTGTGTGGAGGAGGAGGAGGGATCTCAAGTTATGGGGGCAGTGGAGGAGGAGGCTCAAGCTATGGTAGCATTGGAGGAGGAGGTGGTGGTTCAAGTTATGGGGGAAGTGGAGGAGGAGGTTCAAACACTGGGGGTAGTGGAGGAAGTGTGAGTTATGGTGGTGGTGGAGGAGGAGGAGGAGGTAAGGGTTATGGAGGTGGTAGTGGCGGTGGAGGAGGAGGAGGTGGAGGAGGTAAGGGTTATGGTGGTGGTGAGTGGAGGAGGTGGTAAGGGTGGTGGTGGAGGAGGTATGGGTTATGGTGGTGGAGGAGGAGGGGGTATGGGTTATGGTGGTGGAGGAGGAGATATGGGTTATGGTGGTGGTGGAGGTGGTAAGGGTGGTGGTGGTGGTGGAGGGGGAGGTAAGGGAGGTTTTCCAAATCTCTTCAGTAAGGGAAACTTGGACAACATCAAAGGTCAACTGGAGGACCTGTTTGACAAAGGAGCCTTACGTGGTCTTAAGGGCAAATTCACCAAAGGCTTAGGAGACTTAGAGAACCTATTCAATAAAGGAGCTTTGGGGAACTTAAAAGGGCAGTTCAATAAGGGCGAAATGACAGGCATGATTAATAAGGGCATCAAGCAAGTGAACTATAAACTACAGAATTTGATGGATCCGATGCAGGCGAATGTTGAGTCTTCCTTCGCATCGTCTGTTGATTTTATGAAGATGTTTTACCTGAACGTGTTGCCGTCAGATTACTACGACAAGATCCTCACTGTTCTGGCCATCATTGCCTTCCTGGCCTTCGTACACGTCCGGATTTCGCTCATGGTTAGTTCTCTGGCATCGTCACCGTCAGTGTCAATTGGGTTGTTTAAAAGGACTTCTGAGTTGCTGAAGACACTTAGAGAGAATGAACATTTTCAGAAGGTGTATGAGCTGGCCACACAGGTACATGACTCTATAGAAAGCTGGACGGGGGCTCAGTATGACCTCTCGAGCATCAGGTTTGGGGTGGGTGAGTTTAAAGAGGACAGTGTCCCCCTTGACAGTATCTTCTCGAAGAAGACTTTGTATGTCCCAGACAATGACACTTCCCATACCTCCGCCATCAACACAACTCGGGGCTCATCCTCCGACACTTTCTGGATTCCAATCACTGACACTTCCTACACTTCATCCGCCAACACTTCCCGCCTCTCAGACTCATTCACTTACTGGATATCCCCGTCCAAGGCTCCTCCGCTCTCTGCCCCGCCACAGGGAGTCCCTAACGCCACGAGGACCTTACTGAAGGAGGTAGAGGAGCTATCTCGTCTTGGGGCGTCGCTGGTGGACCTGACCCTGGAAAACGTAGGACACTACTGGCGACCGTCAGGAGCGCCCTGTCTCCAACGGCCTCTCTGTCGCCTCAACACCTACAGCGAGGGACGAGGAGCCTTCAGTGCCTTCCTCTTCCCCTTCGTCAGGTAATATTGCTCTTACAAGTGATTATTTTGCTATATTTTTTTTATAATATTTCGAATTATAGAGATTAAAAGACCACACACACACACACACACACACACACACACACACACACTAATAACTTGTCGTATGAACACAGCACCGGTGTGTCGTGGATGGCCAGAACACCTGAGGACACCTTCACCTTGCTGGACACCTTCCGCCCACTCTGGTTGGCTGGGGACACCACCCACAAGGACACCTGCCAGAGGATCCACACCTGTAGCCCCCACACCTGACGACACTAATAATCCACACCTGTTTATTCTGCTAGATCAGTCATCATGAAACACCTGTATAATGTATATATACCTGTACCTGTATAGTCAACAATTTATATAGTTATCTAAATCAATCTTTCAAAAATCAATTTCAAATTCAAACTACATCATGTAATTCATTAGTAATTTAGAATACCCAAACAGTTACAATATTAACAACCCTCTTCACTTAACAACCATAACCTAACTACTCTCTATATCTGTTTACCGTCAAATATATAACAACAATTCCATGTGGTTCGATTTAACATATACATTAATTTCTTATCAATTTCTTCTGTTTTTTATAAGATTTTTTCAAATGTATTTATTCACACTGTAAAAGTTGTATGAATGACGAAGCAAAAATTTTTAATAATATATGGAATATTTTATTTATTTATCCTATATTATTTTTGTTTTATTTATGTTCATATGCGTTGAAATATATTCATTTGTGTTCATCTTTACGTCTCTTGTGTATTCACCTACGTTCACCAGTGTTCACCTATGTTCACCTTTGTAACCCACTATTACTCACTTTGTAACCCATTTTACTCACCTTTGTAACCCACTTTTACTCACCTCTGTAACTCAATTATACGCACCTCTGTTCCCTAGTGTTTACCTGTGTACGCCTCCTAATTGCCAAGCACAAGGTGGACGGGCGTATCAAGCGAGGGAGAGTGACAGGAATGACCCGGTAAGTCCTATTGTATTCTGAAGGTGGTGAGAGACAGACAGACAGACAGACAGACAGACAGACAGACAGACAGGGGTAAAAAGTCATTCTATACTTGTATGTTTTTATGTAATTTTCTCCAGTAATTATTTGTGGATTTTGACGATGCATGAGTGTAATTAGTTCAGGTAATTAGTGTAAGCAGGTATGTGTGTGTATGTGTGTGTGTGTGGATAGGTAGAGATGTGGTATACCTTCCTAGTATTTAGGCCTATACGTACAGGTAAAACACACACACACACACACACACACACACACACACACACACACACACACACACACACACACACACACACACACACACACACACACACACACACACACACACACACACACACACACACACAGGGTAGTGACCTCAGCGGGCCGTGGTTGAGACATCTAGTGGAGGCTGCACAAGTCACATTTATTTCATCATTCATAAGACGTGGGAGAGTGAACACCAGGGGGACCAGCACCTCACCCCTGCGTCTGCTTCGTCCCCTGCCTGTCTAACTGTTATCTATCTATCTATCTATCTATCTATCTATCTATCTATCTATCTATCCAAAGGGTATGTGTGTTTAAGACGTCTGAGCAGGTTGTTATATTTTGGTTGTGAGAAGTGTAGTGTTGTTGTTGTTGGAGTATTGCGAGAGGACGCCTGAAGGTGAGGTCTCAAGTGTCGTTCTAATGGTTTGTTGACATATGTTCACGACTCTCGAGATGTACGTCTTGTGTGTGTGTGTGTGTGTGTGATGATGGGTACATTATGGAGGCGTCGGATATAATTTAGATTCCTCGCGTAGACTCAGCGGTGAAGAATGTCGCCAGGGAGTAATGTACAAGACCCGCAAGGTACTCCCCGCGGGTCTCAGCTTCCCACGGAGGTTCCGGTGAGTGCTAGGCGCCGCGCCGCACAGCTTCCGTAGTGGTGCCTCCCTCAGTTCCTGGTGGCTCCCCGGACCTGCCTCACCTCCCTCACTGCCTCACGCGCCTTCGACACTCACCACCACGAGTTTACTGTCATCTGCCTCCCTGAGAGGGTGTCCACAAACACTGTTTTTGTCCAAGAAAGTCTACCTGGGCCTCACCTGTCGTGTCAAGAAGCTCTAGTGTCACAGTGAGGACCTTAGACCATAATATCCCTCAAAGCTCAGTATTGGGCGTCATCTGGCCAGCGGCTGACGAAAACCAGAGGAACAATTTAATGGTAGTATAATGTGTTGTGGCCGGTAACATGAGAAGGTCATCACGTGTCCACAGGTGTTGCAGAATATCTCACTCATTTCATCACCAGATGTTTGTTGTTACTGTGTGTTGTGTCCCAGCCGTCAACAGGAGCTCCGTTATACACGACGAAAACACTAATGAGGTGGCATATATCTCTTCAGCCGCTCGTGACAGCTGAGTTATACCATAATATGTGTGGCGCCAGTTAATTGGGTGATTTATGTCTAGCGGTGCTCGACAATAGTGAAGGAACAACAAATGTTTCTAACTCAGTCTGTTTAGTATTTCAGCCACATGTCGCCGCCGACTGCGTCATGCTGATATAATTGTAAGATGTGTTATTAAAGCAGTGGAAATTTGGTCATCATCTGTTATAATCCCGTAAAACTTGTTGAAGAAGGTGTCAGTGCGTGTGTGTGTTGGGGTGAGACGTGTGAGGCGCGGAGTATACAAGGAAGTGATCAGTTTCTCCGAGGATTCACATCTAATATACAAACATAAGAAATTTTTCATCATAAGTATGAAGAAAAAATATACTGATGAGTGAACCATTGGAGTGAAAATTGAAACAAGATGATACCGACCACGAGTCATGTAACTGTTTTAGGGGTCGGGTTATGGCTGAGTGTTGTGGGCGGAGCTCCGACAGCGGTCACACCTCATCGCCCCCCAGCCCCACCCACTACCACACTCTCCCCCCCAGGCTCTCCGTATGATCCACACCAGCGGTGGAGTGAACATAGTGCCTACGACAATGTGCGTAAGTTGCCGTGTGAAGCGTCAGGGGGCTGTCCCGATGAGAGCACCGTCAGACGTAAACACGACGTTGGAACACAAGACACTCACCCCCAGGTAAGTTCTTCCACTTCAGACGTACACACAGACGAAACTCCCTCCAACGTGGCTCGTACTGCGCTCAATGTTGCTAGCTGGGTCTCTGGTAGTGATGCGATACAAGGCTCCCACGATACAGTGACGGACCCTCCTAGCGTGGTTGGGACGGAATCCTCAGGGCTGTTTACCTGGAGCTGGATAGATGACACAGCCGAGGCAGCAGATGCACTTGTGAGGGAAGATCAACCTCAAGAAACTACCACAGTCAGCCACTCCAACAACCAGTGGACAAAACTACCAGGATTTGGCAGCCCAAACATCGGGAAGAAGGAGACTACAAATGGCGAACTTGATCATCAACTAACCGATCAGGAGGACGATGTTGACCCCAGTGTGATAATTACTCCTGAAGGACAAGGTGGCCACGTGACGAGTGTTGAAGATGGTGAGGGATACGTGGGTCATCCTGCAGGTGTTGGTGGTCATGTTCCAGGCGCTGACGAAAGTGAGGGACCCGCGCCATATGTTGCTGAGAGTGAGGGTCTGAGTATGAAACCTGACAAAGGGATTCATTGGATCAAGTTATTGCCAGAAGACGTTCCTAAAACCCAGGAAAATTTACCCAAAACTCCTGAATACCCGAGTCACAGCCCAGCCCAGAAACCCAACTTAAAGACCCATCACCAACCAAGTCTTATACCCCGCGACCCGACGATGGCAGATGACTCCTTGCTATCTTCTTCAGCTGTCCAGTCCACATTACTCCAACAAAACCACACATCGGTTATTATCAATCCTCAAAGACCCTCTCACTTAACAGATGCAGTAACTGGTGAAACGCCTCCAGTTAGTGTACATCAGTCATCACACATAGTCAATGACGCCACTACTCAGCAGACAATGACCGTCCTCTATGACTCACTTGACTCAGCCATAATTGAGGAGATGATGTCTGCCCTCACTAAACCCCCACCACTGGTCCCTCATCACCTCACCTCACCCGAGACAGACCAAACAACCCAAGCAACACCTACAACCACAAGAAACTCAACACAAGGTAACACAAATGACCCAATATATGAAACACTTCCACCTTCAGTATTCACGACGGAGGCCCCATCGTATACCAGCCGTACGACGGAAACACCAGTGCGTTCTTCTCTTTATGGGCACAGGACGCGAGAGCCTTCAGCCCTCACTGGGACTAACTCACGTACACCTCCGCCAGCCGTGACAGTGACCTCTACACCTCAAGTTCTTCCTGGACAACACAGAACAGAGGTCACTAAGGCTCCCAGTTTGTACACCTGGACGGAACATACACCTGGGATAATGTTCTTTGTTCCACATGAAGAACACGATAAGGCCGAACCGTCAGAGGACTTCCCCAAATCTGAACAACGACTAGATGATATTGTACCAGATAAACTTTTGGTACAATCCCGTCCAATAGTGCCAGTGATGGGTGAGAAGCCACAGCTCTCAGCCGATGGGACAAAGAACAAATTTTACTCTAATTCTGAACACTTTTCGTCAGAGAAACATCGTGTCACGACACCCAGCCCACAGATGTTCATTCCTGCACCTGAACAAATATCTACGATGCTGGAACAACTGGCTGAACAACATAAGATTCCAAATGAAATCCCTAGACTGGAACAAATGAACAATGCCCACTTATTTACGACTACTGAACGACCAAGTATTAAACCTGGTCAGTTAAATTTGAGGGCTGACCAAACATTCAACACACATCATGAACAACAAACACATGGACAAATGGAACAACTAATCAAGGGACCTGGACAGTCAAGTATATGGCCTGAACAAACATCGTCCTTCAATGAACAAAAGTTTGACCCTCATGAACAAACAACCGTGACACATGAACAGTCTACCGTGTGGTATGAACAAACGGCAAAATGGCCTGAACAACTAATCGTCTGGACAGAAGAATCGACAGTGAATCTTATAAGAGTACCTGAACAACAAACTAAAATTACTGAACAACCATTTTATAGACCTGAACAAACAACTAAAAGACCTGAACAACCATTTTATAGACCTGAACAAACAACTAAAAGACCTGAACAAACAACCTGAACAAACAACTAAAAGACCTGAACAACCATTTTATAGACCTGAACAAACAACTAAAAGACCTGAACAAGATGTCAAATGGCCAGTACAATCAGTTATCACTACTGAACAAACACCTAGGTGGCCTGAAAAAATACTCACTGAACAAACGACTACATGGCCTGTACAAAATACTAAGTGGGCTGAACAACCAAGCACCAGGCATGAACACATAACAGAATGGCCTGAACAAACAAGTGTGAGGCCTGGACAAGCTGCTCTAGTGTCTGGACAACTAAATATCAACCCTGAACAATTGAGTGTGTGGCCTGAACAACCAACCATAAGACCTGGACAAACAACCCTATGGTCTGAACAACAACCTAAACCACCATCTTTTATACCTGTACAACACACTCTCTGGTTTGAACGACCATCTTCGTCCCATGAACAACCCCCTACGGGACTGGAACAAATTATTTTACCACAAAGACATCCAATTACGCGACCTGAACAAATGGCAACGTCACATGAACAGGAAATGATATCTGGGACCTTACAACTTGGTACAAGAGTGGAACAACCATCTGTGGGACAAGGACAAGTATTTCTGTACACTGAACATCCGAGCAGTGGATCTGAACAACCAGACACGATGGAACAACTACACACAAGACAAGAAGAAACGTACAAGTGGCCTGAACAATTTAGTGCAGGATATGAACAAAAAGTAATGCCCCAGTACTCATCCAAGTATCACCAATTACAGGCATCAACTGAACAATCAAGTACACGGCCTGGCCATTCAAGTACACGGCCTGGCCAATCAAGTACACGGCCTGGCCAATCAAGTACAAAGCCTGGCCAATCAAGTACACGGCCTGGCCATTCAAGTACACGGCCTGGCCAATCAAGTACACGGCCTGGCCAATCAAGTACACGGCCTGGCCAATCAAGCACACGGCCTGGCCAATCAAGTACACGGCCTGGCCAATCAAGTACACGGCCTGGCCAATCAAGTACACGGCCTGGCCAATCAGGTACACGGCCTGGCCAATCAGGTACACGGCATGGACAACCAAGTACAATACCTGAACAAACTTTTACAAGACATGAACAATTATTTACAAGACCTGTAATGTCAACTACAAGACCACATTTGTTCAGCGTTGTCCATCATCAATCACCTGCAGATCCAGAACAACATCCATTCATACGCGAAGAGCCACCAATCAGTGATGAACAATGGAACAAAGGACCTGAACACTCAATTAAAATCCCAGGGCATCAACACAGTGTACCTGAACAAGTAGATGTTCCTCCAGAACCCTTTTATACACTGTCTGGACAACTAGATTCTGTACCTGAACAACCTGGACAAATAGATTTAAGTCCTGGACAATCAGATGTAATTCCTGGACAATTAGATGTAATTCCTGGACAAATAGATTTAAGTCCTGGACAAATAGACGTCAATCGTGGACAGTTGTACGCCGGACATAAACTGCTTGAGTCGCCAGTGTCAATAGAGGAACTCCCAGCTGTTGACTCCTCCTTACCTGCCCTCCAATATGTAAACACGCGCCACAGATTTCCCCACACCTCCACTGAACACCCACACGCGTACACATCTGGGATAAGAGATCATACACCCATGTCGTATAGTCAAGATGAATATACACATCTGGAGTATACAACACCTAGTTATACACCACCGTCGGTTTATTCACCACCAGCAGCAACACCATCACCAACATCATCACCACCATCACCACCACCACCACCACCACCACCACACGTCAACACGAGTATTAGTGTAGAGGAATTTATTGACTCCATCCAAAAGTTCATGAAGAGTTCTCTGAGTCAAAACACTTCCGCTACTCGATTTGACGCCAACACGCTTGGGTCCTCTTTGGTCATCAGTGGTTACCCTAACGATCGATCACCACCTGTAGGAGGGCAAGGGGAACTGAGAACGACGCAGACGCAGCACCACACCGCTCAGGGACCTCTCTCAACACTGCTGGACGTAAAGGGTGTTCCTCAGACGACCCATTACCCGAGAGTAGTATACAGGACCCCAGAGAAACAAAGTCCACAGGAAGACACCACCACTACGCCTTCAGTTAGTTTAGAATTATTTGGGAGGAACACCACTTTCTCTTCGTCAGGTAATCATTCACCTACTCCTGCCGCAGTTGACAACAGACCGACGCACAAACTTGAGTGTGACGAGCAAGGTGTGTTGTCTACCGTCCTCGATATATACTCAAAGATATATCCTGGTTTAGTTAATCCCTGTAAGAATGTTTCGACCGTCTCGAGTAAGGAGGGACCCTTGACCCCAGCGGGAACAACTCGGCCGCCAATAAGTACCACTGATATCAATGGCCTTATCACCACCCCATCACCTTCTCTCACGAACGAATCAGCTTCCTTACTGTTAGACCTCCAACTACTGAAGCTGCTGTTGATGAATGGTTCTCTGCCTGGCGTGACCCACACACGACTCCCTCAGGGGGTGCGTCACTCAACCCAAGATATCTTCAGCGGTACTCACAGGCTGCCACAGTTTACTCTCACAACACAACGCGCTGAAAAGGCCTCGCTGCCCCCGATAAGTACACACTCAGAGAAATCACTCTTCAGCATCACACACCCAGAGAGTCCGCCATCAGCGACACAAGTGGACCACCAGGCGATCCCTCCCGTCCCCGTGAAGGATATTTATGACGTCTACATTCCAGCTCCAGTAGTACATGGTGCTGGTGTTCTTCCTTCAGCCACAACTACAACAATTGTCCCTGTTAGAACGACTGAGGCTTATCTTACAACGATGACAAATCATAATCAACCGGCAGAAGAGCCACCTTCCCCTGAACCTTCAACGGTCCCCGAGTCGCCATTTCAACATAATGCCTTTTTCGGTAACGAGGCTCAGCCAATAGCAACACTTGTTTCTGCTAACGGGAGCTCCGTCGTCGTCAGCGCCACGGGGCTGGGCACTCACAACGGCGGCCAACAATCACAGCTGTCGACCGAGTCCACAGTCTGGGTGAGGATACCAACACTACCACTAGAGGCGGCCACGTCCTCCGACTCCCCCCAACAGGATGAGACAACACAATCAAGTCAGGAATCCACACGAACTCCAACAAGAAAGTCAACACACCAATCAGATATCTCTTCCTTACTCGACACTTGGTACCAACGCTGGGAGTCCTGGAGTAAAACCAACCCTACACCAGCGAGTGATTCAACAACCCGAATCTCTTCCATAACCACACCAACTTACCCATCGACAGAGCGACCCAAAACTCCTGCAGCAGAATCATCAACTTCTTCGTCAGTCAGCTCTTCCCCATCTCCTATAAACAAAGATGGCGTCAGTGTGGTATCGGAAACTGTTGAACAAGGGGAGGGGATCCGATATCTCCCACCTGCCGTAACACCACCACCACCACCACCTGTTGAAACCTCCACTCGGAATTTTGTTTATCTGGCAACAACCATGACGACGCCACAACAAATACCATCACTCCCAACCTCATTAGCAGTGGTACCAACAACACAGATTACCATACCAACACGCAACACAATACCAACCACAACAAAACCACAATACACCACACCACCAACAACAACAACAACACGAAATACAACACCAACAACACCATCTACAACAATACAATACACAACACCAGCAACACAATCCACTACAACAACACGAAATACACCACCAACAACACCATCTACAGCAACACCACGAAACACAACAACACAATACGCAGCACCAACACCGACTACCCCAAAGCCTTCAGGTCTTAGCCAGATACTTGGGTCAATCTGGGATTTTGTGGGATTCACCAAAAAGACGTCAACACCTCCACCAAGATACAACCAATCTATAACCACTAGTAGCAAGACCACAACCACGACTACTACTACTACTACTACTACTACTAAACCAACCACCACTACTACTAAACCAACTACTACTACTACCAAACCAACTACTACTACTACTATTCCGACTACCACTACTACCACACCAACTACCACTACGACTCCAACCACCACTACACCAACCACAACCACTACACCGACCACAACCACTACACCGACCACAACCACTACACCGACCACAACCACTACACCGACCACAACCACTACACCGACCACAACCACTACACCGACCACAACCACTACACCGACCACAACCACTACACCGACCACAACCACTACACCGACCACAACCACTACACCGACCACAACCACTACACCGACCACAACCACTACACCGACCACAACCACTACACCGACCACAACCACCACAACCACCACCACACCACCCCCAACAACTACTACTGCGCCCTCCACCACAACGACCACTCCCACAACCACCACTACATCCACTACCACTACTACCACTACTTCATCAGCAACCACACCCACGGCCTCTAGTCCCTCCACCACTTCACCTACCAGACAGACAACCACCCCCACTACTACCACCCTTACCACCACCACCTCTACCACCACTCCAACCACTCCCCTCACCGCCACCAGGAGTAACCTCTTCAACAGTCTCTGGGAGTATGCGTCAACCCATGAAGACACGACAAGCATCACACAGGGAAAACAGACCTCACTCACACCCAGACCATCCACCAGGCCTCCCTTATATACGATTCATAACCTCACGACAGCAGCATCAACCTCACCGTCTATATTCACGACTTCTCTGACGCCTGTGATAAACGATAATGTTGTTCCGATAATCTACGGGAAAAGGTTTGGTGATGGAGGTAGTGGCGTGTTGGGCAGCAGCAACAAGGAAGAGATAATGGAAGTCCCGGGAGAATTGGCCCTCACGACGCGGACTCCTTCGTCGGTGGAGTCACTGGAGAATTTGTTCCGGTTGATCGGTAACTTGCGAGGCAGCGGTCAAGACGAGTTGCCGCGGGAACAGAAGGGCGATGACGAAGGTGTATCTGCAGGGGACAAAGATAACACCCCGAGTCAAATTTCTGTTCCTCAGTCTTTGTCCACCAGCTTCGCCGGGATGTTCCCTCATTTACCTACAGTATTCGACAAGGACTCACTGGAGGAAAATATAAGTCAGAGGACTTCCATGACAGAAAACGGGGACTTAAAACTCCTCACGTTTAAAAGAGACAACAAACACACTGCCTCTAGTTTACCGCTGGACCTGACAGATGAGGACCCGTCAAGCAGTAGGTATCCAGGACTGTCCTCCCTCAGCCACCGTCCCAACACTCCAGACCACCAGCGCCCCTTGATGCACCGCCCGACCATCATCATAAAGAAAGAAGGCGCCAGAATACACATCCCAGTGATGCCCTCGGCTGATTTTAACTCCTTCAAGCCTCACGGGTCATTGGAGACTACGGTGCATCACGACTTTCACGAGAAGTGGGAGTCAAGAGATGATTTGTCGTCGTCAAGTATAGTTTCCCGTCAGGGATTGGCTGCTCCTCCTTCTGCAGCGTCGTCAGAAGCGGATGTCACCCAGAGAGAAGCCTCCAGGCAGCCTCATTTAGGGCTGAAGACTTCCTCTCTTCGTCCTCCACCACCCCCTGCCCCACAACGTCCCCCTTCTCCTCCTCGTCGTCCTCCTCTCCCACGTCTCCCTCCTCGCTCTCGTCCACCTCCTCCCCTCCCAAGTCCCTCCCCTCCTCCCCCAACGTCCTCCTCCTCCTCCCCAACGTCTTCCTCCTCCTTCCCAACGTCCTCCTCCTCCTCCCCAACGTCTTCCTCCTCCCTCCTCCTCCCCCCCAACGTCTTCCTCCTCCTCCCCAACGGCCCCTCCTCCCCAACGCCCACCTCCTCTAACCCTTCTTATGTCCCCGCTTCCCCCTTCTCTACTTCCCCCGTTACCTACACACCCGCGCCCTCCTCCACCTCCCCAGCGTCCTCCTCCACCTCCTCAGCGCCCTCCTCCACCTCCCCAGCGCCCTCTTCCACCTCCTCAACGCCCTCCTCCACCTCCCCAGCGTCCTCCTCAGCGCCCTCCTCCCCTCCTCCAGCGTCCTCCTCCACCTCCCCAGCGCCCTGCTCCTCCACCTCCCCAGCGCCCTCCTCCTCCAGCGCCCTCCTCCTCCACCTCCCCAGCGCCCTGCTCCTCCACCTCCCCAGCGCCCTGCTCCTCCACCTTCCCAGCGCCCTCCTCCTCCACCTCCTCCACCTCTCCCCACACAGCCGTCACGCCCTCCGCCAACGTTGAATTTACAGCGAGGAAAAAATTGCGGCGCCGCCCTCCTGGCTCGTCTGGAACACCTGCTGGGGAGAGAGTTGGTGATGGATCAGTTCGGTGTGCGCCTCTACAGCTCCGTTATTGACAGGTAGAGAGAGAGAGAGAGAGAGAGACATCAAACCTCACTCACAACTCATAAATCAGACCCAAACTCCTCATAAACTCACACACACGATCTCTAAGCAGCTTCACGTGACCCGCCATTGTACAGTTCCACGAAATTGTATAATAAAGAGATTCACTGCTGCTGGTGTTGAAGACGATCTACGACTCGAGACAGACTTCATGTGACGCGACAACAGAGAGGCGCCCGTGCGTGATAGAGGGAGTTTGGGCTCTCCGTTAGGGTGACTGTGTGTGTGTGTGTGTGTGTGTGTATTTAACTGAGAGCAAACATAGTAGTAGTAGTTATAGTAATGTATGATACTGTATATGTGTCTATGTGCTTGTCTGTATATATGTGTATGTATATCTATATGCTTATGTATGTATATGACGAGTTATGACCAATAGATAGACACTGGGCAGGACAATATGACAGCATAACACTAACATGACACCACCACAACAACAAGTCATCATAACAAGAGGTGACAGTAGAGGACCTGATCACACAGCAGAATATAATACAAAGTGGTCGAGGATAATAAGGACTGTCCACTACTTACCACAACATGAAGTGACAGACAAACATGAACAAGGGAGATAAAAATAGTGTGTTGTTAGGGATATTATTTTGTTTTTCTTTCTTTCTCGTAATAATAATAATAATAATAATAATAATAATAATAATAATAATAATAATAATAATAATATAGACACAGATCATTCTTATGTCAGTATATATATCAATATTACGTAAATTATAAACTTAATTTGAAGAAAAAAATTATATCAATGAGGTTACTTCTTAGTATGGGAAGGTACAGTATCCACCCTTCTCTTTCTCTCCCTTCATCCCTCATATCTCCCTCCCTCTCATCCTCCCTCTCGTCATTCCCCCTTCCCTTCCTCATCTACCTACTCCTACAGGCTGGTCTCAATCAGATAAATAACCCTCATCTCCTTCTCTGACAGTATCCTGACGGTAGAGTGTAATCACCCTGAGTGGCGCGAGAGACAGAGTTTACCTGACACCTCCACTCTACCTCCCACGTCCTCCAACAAGACTTCAATCTTACCTCCAATACAAGTCTCCCCTCCACTTTCCACCACGATGTCCACCCCGACTATAGGTATGGAGGGGTGGCTGACTCTCGATGACATACGAGCTCAGGTAATGTTTAAAGGTTCTCAGGTTAATATTGTTTACCTAACGTGCTTACAGGTGTTGTCTGGCTATGATATTGACCACTATCTCCCCCTCCCCCTCCTGTTTGTATGAGAATAAATAAATTGTTTTTCTTTTAATTCAATGGATAAAAAAACTAATGTCTGTTTAAATTCCTATGGTGTTTTTTTCCCTCCATAGGCACTGAAAGCACTCCGGGATGAGGAAGAACCTGAGGAGCTTCAAATCCAGTCTAGGAGCTTCCCTGACGATGCCCACGATGGTCTCCTGGGTAATCACCGCCTCGTTCCTCTCTCCCTCTCCTCTACAGCGCCTCCGTCGGATGTGGTCACTGTTTTGTCTCCTGTTGCAGCCTTTCTCTCTGCCCCTTCGTCGCCTTCGCCAAATTTAACTCAGAGTTCGTCTTCCTCCTCTCAGGATTCCTCTCTCTCATCCTCCCCTTCTTCCAATTCTTCTTCCTCCCCTCCTATCCCCTCTTCCTCCTCCACTCCTTCGCCTGTCTCCACTTCTTCATCCTCGTCAACTACTACGTCATCAGTCCACTCCACTTCCTCTCCTATGTCTGTTTCCTCTCCATCCTCTTCCTCCTCCTCCTCCTCCTCTCCTTCGTCTGCCACCTCCTCCCCATCTGTTTCCTCCCTCTCTTTCTCCTCCAAATCCTCTTCAACCATGTCTCCCTCATCTTCCTCTTCCTCTACCTCCTCCCCCACCAACCTCTCACCTCCCTCTCACTCTACCCTCTCTCCCACGTCCTCCTCACCTCCCTCTCACTCTACCCCCTCCCCCACCAACCCCCCATCTTCCCCTCTCACCCCATTATCAAACCTCACCCCGACTCCCCTCACCACCGTGCTGAGTGAGTCGACACAGCCAGGTGAGGTAGGAGGTAGGGTGAGGAGGGGCACTGGACGTCTGGATGTGACGACCCCTGGCAGTGTGGCGATGGTGTTCCTCTCCCTCCACAACTTGACTGTCGCTTCAGGTCTGTATAGTAATTTTTTCCTTATTTGTGTATTGTTTTAGCTGTCGTCTCAAGGCTAAAACACAATCTTATCGTGTTTGTTTATGTTTATTGAGAATATTCGATGGTATTTTCTGCAATATGAATTAATTTCGAGTTATAATATAAGGAAAAAACAGATTATTTGCATATATTCTTTATTTATTTACTTTAGTCTCGTTATCTCAGGAGCTGCCACTCAGCCATGGGACGCCACACCTCCTCACACCTCTCTGACAGCCGAGACATCACGATCCCTTAGCCCAAATTTATTCGGGTTTGAGACCATCCTGACGGGGTTGGTTTACCTCTCCTTCGGTATCTTCCTCTACCAGATGATCCAGCGAGCCGTCGGCGCCAGGGTATTGGGGTCCAGCACGTCCTCCTCCTACAGCAGTAGTGGCAGGAGTATGGAAGACGAAGTCCCAAATTACCAGATCATTTCTCTTCTGGATTCGCTTGAGAGGGTAAGTGTATGTTGTGTTTGTGTGTAATTGTGTATGTATAAGGTGTGTGTGTGTAATTGTGTATGTATAAGGTGTGTGTGTGTGCGTGTGTGTGTGTGTGTGTGTAAGCAGCTATTGGAAGCGTGATGGCCACAACACCGTTCCGTGAGGTCTATAAACTCGAGGTAACTACACCGCTGCTCTCTCTCTCTCTCTCTCTCTCTCTCTCTCTCTCTCTCTCTCTCTCTCTCATACTTAGGTAGTTTAGTTGTAATATTAAATTTTCCATCGTTTCTTAATACCTAATCATTACTTATACTTCCTATAGATTTTTTAACCCATTGGAAACGTTCACAAATATATTTTTAACATAAGATTCGAGAAAAAATCATTACATTAATAAGATTGAGACCACCGCTGACACCACCACCTCTTGTTCCACCCTGCCATAGATACCTAATGTGGCGGCGGAGGTTGTGTTGATGGGTATGAAGGGGAAGGAGGTGTTGGCGAGGCGACCATCTTGTCTTCCTCTCTTTTTGTGTCGCCTCAACCTCCAGCATCAACAACAGCCACATGAAGATGGGGCCTCCAGCTTCCGTCGCTCTGCAATTGTAGCTGTGAGGTAAGTATCCCCTGTTTGATATCTTTTTTATTACTGAATTATTAATTACGTTTTCTCTGGTGGGTTACTTTTAATGGTAAACTTTTGTAAACTATTTTGCTTGGTATTACATGTTATTGATTAAACTCTATATAATATAATAATTGTCACAGTGTAATAATGTTTTGATTGGATGATCTGCCCCTCTACATATATGATCCCTCATTTGTGTCCCCAGTTCGGCAATGTCAATGTGGGCGGGAGTCCAGCAACCTGACCTCCTCTTTCCCGCCTCTGTGGCCTCCTGGACGGGCGCCAACGGCCTCTCCTGCCATCGAGCCTCCACTACCTGCCACGACGCATCTGACTACGCGTCTACACTGTTAAAGCTACAGAATGACCAGAGACCTTTATCAACAGAAACTACTGGCCCCACAGACAGATGGCCATAGGGACAAAAGAGATCGCTGGCCACAACACCCCAGCCCTTATATTATTAACTCGCTGCAGAGACCACAGGAAAATGATTACCCTTGACCATTTACGTCAAGAGATGGACACATACTCCTCACCTCTGACCAAAACATAAACAAACCGCAGATAATTGTTGTGAGGAGGGGCCTGTGTGATCTTTGTTGTTGAGGAAAGTTTTGAAGAAATATATATTAGATTTTGAGAGGCGATGCGCTATTGCTTTCTGCGAGTGTCAGAGATTGTCAACATCCTCACTGTCATTATCATCAACTATCCTCATCATTGTTATTCATGTTTGTTGTTTCATAATCAGTTATCTACATCATTGTTATTATCATATTATTCACCATCATTAAGATAACTGTTATCTCCACCAGTCTCGTGCAACATTGACCACATTCTCACATTAATAAATCCCGTCGCTGCTACTAACCTGTAAGGCTTCGCTGTTGATTCCCAAAGGATTTTATGTTAAATTTCCCCTCATAACTAACTATATAACTTCATTTAACACTCCTAAATAACGTTCGGGATGACGTCAACATACACTCCAACTCTACCAGAAACATTCACGGATCAGTTACAGGACCCTCTGGATCCTCTGTTGGACCAGGATCTGTATAGGCATTATTAGTTACATAAGACAAATCTCAATGGGCATTAATAATATACTGTATTGAGAAAGAATGTGTGTGTGTGTTTGCGTCATGAATCTGTGAGAGAAAGAGAGAAAGAAAGACAAGTTGATTGACAAATAATAAAGAGAATGTAAGAGTATCGCAAAAATAAACATTTTACAAATATTTATTATGTACAAGAAAATGGCACATAAGTGACTTAGTATATACAAGGCATTATTCCACATTTTATCTACAAAACTAAACCAGATGTTCTCCCTTGCCTAAACCTGCTTACGATATGCTTAATTTTTAATTGATTTGCACGTCCATTTTGCACTGATGTAGCAATAAGAATTTTATACATTTTGTGTAGGTAATCAATTTATTGTCGTGCACCTTGTAAGGTTAATATTTATGTGAACAAATGTGTGTATGTCAATTGTATGTGTAAGAACTGTATTCTATTGTAATAAACTTAATTTATGGAAAAAATCTCCATTATTTTTTTTTGTGGGGGGGGGGTTAATCTTGCTGTACACAAATGCAAACACAAAACGCACGCACACACACACAACATTGAAGTCATTTATCCTGTGAATTCTTACACATTCGGCCCCCAACAGCTGGCGGCTTCATAATCAACTCGTTCTACGCTTCAGCACCTCACCCATAACGTTGATGGCTTCCCCTGGCGTCTGATGGGGCTACCTTCTGCCGTGAAAATATCGGGAATTACTTTTGATGGGGAGGAAGTAACGTTACCAGCAGAAAATATTACCAAAGTTCTCTACTTCTTTTTCTCGTCTTAATGTAGCGAGTATTGGCTATCGTGTGGTATGACTCACTGTTCAGCTGGCTCCTATACGGTGTCTTCAGTATGGACTCATCTTTTTAGTGTTTTGTTTATAATGTTCTCTCATTTAATAATTATTTATTAGTAAAACCTATTAGGGATCTTATATCGTTTTTGTGAGAGGAGGAGAGATGTACAATAAGCAAAATATTAATCGTTTATTTGTAAATGCTAACCATCTATTGGATATATGCATTTTAATATCCTTGTATTGGGGTATATATTAATTAATTGTAGAGTTATGAACATTGTAGTAACATTTCATTTCTAAAAGAATTTACGGGTTTTTTCAGAGACAACACGGTGCAAATCTTGGAAAGGATGGCACTTAAGAAATATTATGGTATTTCAGTTTATTTGATGAAATGTTTGCAAATACACAAACAATAATTTATTCCTAACCCATTGTTTTTGACCTTTTAAATCTTTTGTCAACTTTTGAGATAAATGTAAAAATACTTCTCAGAAGTTTGTCCAGAACGATTTTCAGGATTTTTAAAATATGACGAATTTCATTGCATAATTGTTCTTTTTTTACTATAACTGTATTCTATTTGTTTTTCTTTCAATTTTGGTAGATTAAGTATTTACAGTCTTGAAGTATATAAAAATACAGTACGTAAAATGAGCTGAAATTGGTCCTGTAACTCTCAAATCTGTACAGGGCAATGGGGAAGTAAACTTATGGATGCTGTACTACGAAATCCGATGACCGATTGTCCGAATTAGTCAGTCTAGCACGAACTATTGGCGGGAGTGTATATGTGGGTGTGACGGGAGTGTGACGGTTATTATGGGATTTACAGTACTTGTGGTGGTGATATGAAGATAACTAGAACTGTGACGGTGTTATGCCATTCTTTTTACGGACTAACAGTTGACATAATTATGTGATCACTGTGGAATCTTCTTCCTGTTCACCTCGGGCGACGACCGAGAGGACGTCCAGGTAAAATAATTATCTTTTACTTGGAGAAAAAAATAAATGAACTATGTTTGATTAGTAGGGCCGATTCACTGAGCGATACAAGCTTGTCAATAACCAGTGATTCATTCTCTTTTAAAATCAGACATACTTCGGTATCTTTTTCTTCAATTTGCCTAAGACGTGGAAGCCATATACTTGCTGCTTCTTCGATAAATTTAAAGTTATTTTTACCGTATTCGGCCATCAGATATACGAGTACATTATGTTAATTAAAACACTACTTTATTTGTTAAATTTATTATTGTATTTAGTAATTTAATGACCTGACCTTACCAAAATTAACTGAATCGGTAACTTACCCAACCTGTCCCAACTTAACCAAACCTTTCCTGGCCTAATCAAAATAATTTACCTTAAACTAACTAATAGATTATAGCTTAAACTAAAAGCTAATATATCTTAACACCACCCTAACCAGGCCTAGTTTAACGTAACGTAACCATCATTCTTAAGTATGGGTGTAGATCAAATATGCCCAGCGTAAACTAACCATGCAATTCGGGGTCGATTAAGATAGATTCTGAGCCATAAGTCTAATGATTAAGTTGGGTTAAGTTGAGGTAGCTGGGAGCCTATTAGGACTGGGTTCATTGATGAGTCACCTCACACCTTCACCAAAACCAGTGTGAGACTTCAATACGACACAGACATGGACACGAGTTTAAATTCATAAATATAATTCTTTCCGGTTCATAAAGTTGTCATGTAGTATGCAACTATTATTCCTAGGAAGATTAATATATATAATACCTTAGAGTGAAATTTCCAATAATGTTATGAAGCTTCAGCGGGCAACTGAGGGTCAGAATACCCAGCAGATTCACGCCGTTGAGCACTGTCACCCATGCGTATTACTAACTGTAAATTATATAATATCAACTGTAGTAATAATGCCGGTAATGATGGTAATTAGATTAAGTGAGGTGCCAACTCATTTCAGTGGGCTGTGTTTAACCGACCTTGATCTTTCATCTTAAAAATGCATCAGCTCAAGGGGGTATTATGATGATTATGACCAAACATGAGCAGTGTATGCTCCGGTTATGCTACTTACATTCTGTAATTAATTAGACGGTACTGTAATGACTGTCCTATAACCTGGCCGAGGCAACCGTACGTTATAATATTAACTGATCTAAATAAACCGAGTTAAAACAATTTATTGAAAAGTAGAGCCAAGATCATGTGTTTTCTTAACTAATTTAGCTGCGGTAGCATAATTAGAAGTTATTAATCTGCTTGAGTGATTATGTACTTTACGTGAAGTGCAAAACCTGTTGACATTGGTCATTTATGCGTACCTAGAACTTACTCAAGGGAAACAAAACACTATCGCTAACTACTTGTATGTACTGCTTGTATGTACTGTACCACAATCACACGGTAGATTAATACCGTGGCTGTCTCTTAACAAAATTCACACATTCTCTCTTTGGCTTGGAGTCGATCGTCCTTGTCACAATTATGTGAAATTTCTAATGGAGATTCATCATTCGTGAGCTCTCGGCGGCTCGAGAGGCCGACATTGGATCGGCAAGGTCGCCTGCAGAGGTTACGTGTGTGGTGGACTACATCTAGTGAAAGAGGAATGGTAGCAACGTCTTTCCGATGCTGGTTGTCTGCCTCGGCGGGTTTACGATCAGCCTAGAAGGCTTACATAGCCTCTCTTGCTGTACTTCTCCAAGCGTCACGGTTGGGAGTGATGATCTCCCAGGTGTGTGCCGACTTGACACTCCCATGTATTCATTGACAAGCCATGTAAGGAATTGGTAAATATCTGGTGAGTGAATTAGATAATTACAGTATGTATCACCCGGGGGTTGTACACCTGACACCGCCCATAGAGGGGGAGCGGCTTGGAGGCGTGGCCCACTAACAAGACTTTGGTAGTGGTGGAGGGAGTGCTGAGGGAGTTAAGGGGGGATGGGTGGGGGCGAGGCAGCTGGATCACGTTGTAACTGGCGCAGCTTTAACGCGAGTCTCCAGTGTGTGACGGCAAGTCCTACAGCAGCGACGGATAGTATACCACAGCAGTGTAGCGACGATATCCACAGTGACGGTCGCTCAGCACAACGATGGTGGCGGTGGTGTTGATTGTGGCAGGATGGTGGTGTGTATCAAGGGCTGCGGCGTTGGTGTGTCCGGGAGGCAGCGACCACTGTACCACACAACACAGACTACAGACAATAGATCAGTTCTTCAACAATATAACTTTTAAGACCTCTGGACCAACCTTTACTCTCAGGGATATCGGTCACTTGATGTCACAACAGGTGGAAGAGTTGAAAAAGATAGTGGGTGACAGATTGACTCTGCAGAAGACTCCGCGGGAGGGCCGCCAGTACTATGGTGCTACAGACTATAGCGGTTACTATGCCAGCACGGGATACCCTGGCTACGGTGTTTACAACGCTGGCACCACCACCACCTTCAACGGCCTGGATGCAGCACTTTCTGCTCTTGCCTTCTTGGCATTCGGGGTGTGGCTTTTCAATCTAGTAATGCCCCAGCTGCAGGGGGCCGGTCTTGGTTTGCCTGGGCTACGACATAAAACCGCCTTGTACGGCGCCTCAGCAGGGGAGGTTGACCAAGTGGTCCAAGCACCCGGCATACTGTCCAACATCCTCAACAACAGTCAGGAACTCGTCAACAAAATATTCAACAAAGATGGGTCTCGACAAAGCAGGCTTTTCTTGACACAGTGGCTTGGTGAGGAGATGGTGAACCAAGGAAAGAGTACGGTCAAATCTACTTTAGAAAACCTAGTTAAGTCAGCTATGAAAGCCGGTAGAGACATTGTGTCGAACCTCGAGAAGATAAGCAGCGTGCCGACCCTGTCAGGACTAGTGCAACAGGGTAGTAGCGTCGCCACAGACTTTATAAGGAAACTATCGTCAGTGTTCCAGCAGTCTCCTTTTGAAGTTCCCAAAGACCCTCCAGTCTCGGTAAAATTCATGGACACCCCTGAAGCCCTGGGGTCCCCTGACGGCGTGAGTCCTCGCTGGCGTCGCAGGGCTGATAATTCTGAGGTCCGGAGTGTACTGGAGTATCTTCTGACGGAGGCCTGGCGACCCCTGAAATACCTGTTGCGTTTACTAGAGGAGCTGGATGGGCGACACACACAACACTACTTCCCTAAATCCCGTATTCCGGTGAGTCTCACGTCTGGTGTCTCATAAACGAAGGAGTATTGAGAGGCACAATGCGTAATTAAGTGCCGAAAGAATGGTGAATACAGGTGATCCGTAAATATACTAAAGGTAAAAGTAGAAGTTGGAGGATGTGCAGAAAGATGGCAAACAGTAAAAATTTACGTTCACGGGAAAATATAAAAGAATGAGTAGAGCGAGACAGCAACGGTCCAGTAACTAACACTGGTTTTAGTAAACGTTACATAGCGGACAGCTTGGGGGTGCAGGAGGTGCTGTGGTGACGGGAGAGGTGTGTCATGAGTAAGCGTGACGTGCTCATCCACATGCACATATGTATACGGTGAACACTCACACACACACACTTTGGAGATGAAGACGTTTCGTATAGAATTTAATTGTTTCTAGATGGCCGACGCAAATATAGAAAGATTCAGTTCCGAGAGTAATACAGTAGTGTGCTGTAGTTGTTTCATCCTGATAGTCGTATATGTTATAATGTTTCATCCTAGGTGTTATAACTTAATAAAACGTCCCATCCATTACGTTACAACCTAGTATGTTTCATTCCTTCATCCTGGACAACATTGTTATATCATAGACATTGTTATAAATTCTTATCTTTCGCACCTTCAAACTGACTCGCCACTTTATTTATTTTATCATCAATTACCGAGTACAGTACAGTAATGTATTTTCTTATTTAATTCTTTTAAATGAAGATAATCAAAGGTTAATCATAAATATGTAAAGTACTGTATAATAATATTACATTCTGAAACTGATGTGTTCTATTAATGGTATTTTTCATTGATTCAGGACACAGGTAAGGGCAACCTTAACTTGGATAACAATATGGCTGCATACCCCAGCAAGAGTCCAGTCGACCATCCTCACAGGAACTCCCTGGATGATGATGGTGAGGAGTCCTTGACACGGCATGCGGGATGAAACACTCCACAAGTACAACCGTCATAAATTAACACAGAACTATGTTTTCAACCAAATACTGTACTCCATATCATATTGTCAGTGATACGCTCAGATTCGTATGCTTAATATTGGTTATCATATAAACCTTATTAAAATACATACATACATACATGCATACAATGTTTCCCAAAAATAAGAGTGATCTCACACTTTATTTTAGCATCGTACTCATAAAATATTGTATGGGGTTGAACTAAATTTACACTGTAATAATGTGGTTTATGGTGGCACTGATGCCATGCTCAGCTAGGAGATAGACTCTGGTCTGTCACCCGTCACATTATAGTACAGTATTATTCATGACATCTTCTAAGCAGAACTAAACTCAACCTTAAGTTTTTAATCAGTGTAATGTAGAGAGCCTGTGGTCTGAAGGCTTGAGGATCATAAACTAAGGCGGCTAGAACCTAATCCAAAGATGAGCCATTTTTATCAGTGACATTCATTGCCCTGAAAGAAAGACTAAAGGTCACACCCACCCCATAACCTGTGAGGTAAATGAGTCAGGCAGCCATTGTACAGTTCACTCCTTATTTGTCTTCATAGCGATGTCGCAATGTGCCAACTACACATCTTGTGATAACAGCTATTAAGCCAAGTGCCTGGTCTCTTATAATGTGAACTGGGATTGTTTGGCTGGGCTACATAGTGTCGAGTTTTAAGTAACAATGGGTGGTTGGGTTATGGGTTTGTTATTTCTTCCTGTTATTGACAAATAATTGTTTATCCGTGATAAACTGTGGTCATTAATTCCCTATAAGTCGTGTGTCTGGTGCAGCCTGGAGAGCTGCTATCAGGTAATCAAGGCCAACGTGTGTAAGCATGAAAATGGCCATAAAACATTGATGATAGTGTGCTGTATCTGCACTATCCCTAATTGACCATTAGGTCTCAGGGAGACCCTTTCACCTATGTTTGGGTTCCCTGACCTCATACTCATAAGCTCGGGCATGCATTATACTTGGAGTTGGTTAGAAAAGAGGATTTTAGGATACTGTATATTATTTATTTGTTTTCATGGGTAATAAGTTTAAATGAATGTCTTGCGACCATAGACAAAGCCACTGTTTACGTAAACTGTAATTTTAATGGTGTAAAACCTTTAAAAATACAACCATGAAATTATGTAATGATTAGGCCGAGTTATTATTAAGACTAAAGGTGGGCAGTGACTATCTCTAGTACAGTACAGTACAGAGCCTGGTACAGTATTATATATCGATTTTCTTACCTTGAACAGTAAGTACATTAACTTTATTGCTGGTAGGTGTTACAGTATTTTTACATTACCCGGGTACAGTATTCAATAAATTAAATGTACTGTACTTTCTTGTTCCAAAGCAAATACAGTCGTCATTTTATTAATTGTACTGTACTTACTGTAAGCCCAACAATGGTTTACGTAATTGAATATCAAATTTCATTATTTTTTCAAACCACATGTATTAAATTATTCAAGTTGTACATTCCTGTAAATAAAGGCCAGTGTTCTAATACTGTATATATATATTCATTCTATAATAAAATCCACACAACAGCAACAGTGCTGACCAGTCATGGAGTTGACCTCAGTGTGAAGGTATTGAGATTTCATTATTCATTCATAAAAGAATTTAACTCATGCTTAGTCCATTGTACAGTATAACACTAAGGTTGTGCATATAGCCCCTCTAACTTACCATCAACAAGGAATGATTGATACAAGATGCTTCAATAATTTTCATTTTTATTGTAAATAGGATCCTATTGTACAAATAAGTTTACAGTCCTCGGTGAAGAAGTACAGATACAAAAGTAAAAATACTGTGGATGTCGCATTGAACATTTCTGCATTCACGTATGATGGTGAAATACAGACCCGGGGAACATCATAGTGAATTCTACTTACAAAAGTTGCTTCTTATTTCATGACAATGCTTGAATGTACTTTAAGTGCCCTATTTTCTGAGGAAAATTTGTTTTACCAAGTTTGTTACTCAAACTCACATTAAAAGATGGAAACCTATTTCAACAATATAGAAATAATGAATGACAGCAAATAAGAGAGAGAGTGTGTGTGTGTGTGTCCTGCAAGAGTTAATTAAGATGTTGATCCCCACACTATTATAGAAATAAAAAGTGTCCATCTTTTAAAGCAAGTTTGATTTAAATAGTATCTGTTTTTTGCAGAACTGTGAATCCTTCCATGTAGTGTTTTGCCAGTTAAAAATCAAGTACATAAGACAATAATCTGGTTTTCAAAATTTCAATTACAGTAACTTTAGAAAGTATCCAGTAGAGTATTTTGAAAATCACCCTCACTGTAGACCCTGGATATGACCAACCGTGGGAGAAAGGCTTTGAAAGTCATGGACAGTATCTATCAGGGATTGTGTGTCATTGTCTTTAACAGAGCATCTTTTAATAGTAACACAAAAGGTGATATAACTGTTAACATTTAATTTTATAAAAATTTCCATTCCAAATATTAATAATTAACACGTTCAGTATTTATCAGATTAAGTGTAAAGGGTCACATTCAAATTTCTAAGTGCAATACTTTAAAGATGGGAGTAATTTTACTTCTTATTGATTTTCTTTTAGAAAAAAAATCACCAGGCATAAAATACTGCAATAACCATACACAAATACTATCAATCCACACTACCATTTAAGACTGGCTCAACCACTAACCACCTATGAATGTAGAGACAAATCCCTCAATCCAACAAATGTCGTCTTATCCTGCCAGTAACACCACATTAAATGTTTAATCCCAATTCTTAACAGGCACACACAGTTTAGTATACAGTATAACTGGTTCATATAATGCCTACTACTTCCTCAGGTGATTAGTAGTAGAGAAAATGGCATTAAAATAATGACATCAAACAATTGTAACTTCAGTGCAGAGAAAGCGAATGTTGCTGGGATTCTTTAAGCAAAATCTTATCCCTGGTTCCTCAGCAATTAAGCTAAGGCAGTTTACCCAACCCCCATAAACACACACTCCTGCACATCAGCAACAACACAACAGTATGGGTAGTCTTAATAATCATGTGTAACATCAATTCTGAAGATATAATAAAAATATTTCACTGGGTATTTCAATAATAAGAAACATCAAGCATTTACATAACCCTGCAAAAGATTTCAGAGTTCTGATCAGACTTATCACCTCAAAACAGGAGTGCCTAAAAAATGTAAGGCACACTCTTGCAGATCCATCTGCCAGCCAATAAAGTCATTTTCAACTAAAGATAAAAACTCAGTATGACATGTATACTTTGACAAGAATAACTTTACTGAAAATTCATCTCCCATTGAAATGACTTGTCTAAACTTTTCAAGGTCTATCATACCAAGCAAGGACCACAACTGGTCACGAGCTATAAATTCAAACAAAAGTTCCGCTTACCAAACACACAAACCATAAAATGTTCTTGAAAGTCCACGGATCATTTCCCGAAGACGCTTCACTCAAGTACATAGCTACACTCAAATGCTGCTGTATATAAATGTTTCAAATGTTCTTAATGCTAATAAATAAAGATATTAAAAATAAGTTAGCTGAACCATTCACCAAATGATATACAAGAATTAATGACATGCACACCAAAAATAAATAAAATAAAATAAAAATATGAACAAATCTCCCAAAGACATACAACTTGGATTCCAAACTGATAAAAGCCACTAAAGGAGCATTAAACGTGAACATTCTTGAAAACTCAATAAATACAAAACAGTATTCTTAATCCAACAGGAGATTGTGATAAAAAGGGAAAAGTCTATAAGCAGCTACTGATATAAATTTGGCCTTATTACATTACTGTAACCAATGCATTAGAATTTAAAATATCAAATACTGTAGTGGGTATATTTTAACCAAGACTCTAAATAAAACTCATCAATCAGCCTTTAAGACTTGGTTACTAAAAGACATCAACACAATGCACTAATATTCTGGATGCTGCTTACAGCTTTCTAAATCCCTTTGGGAGATAATGCTACGATTAAAACCAGTTCAATGTCAAGGTACTTTCTGGCACTATGAAGTTCATACTACTCAGTTACACTACAAGTCATCAGTATACAGCAGACTTGCATCTTTGGTTACTACAAAATGAGACTGGTTCTGTCAACTGTAAAAAGCTATTAGCAGGTTAAGATTAGTAAACAATGTTTGTAAATATGCATCAGATCCTAATGATAGATAGAGCTCTTAAAAAAATCACTAATCAGACAATGGCTGTCTTTTATAAAGTGTAATAATAACAATGTCACACCCACAACAGGCTCAACTAACAGTACTGTGCCTCCCCTAGTAGGTCTCTTGTGCAACACTGGCTGCGCTGTTATGGAAAGAGCACATCAAGACAACTTTGGGTTATATGGGAACAATCAAAAGCCTGAGAAGACTTCTTTTTTCAGTCTCTGAAAGAACTGTATGGACAGAGTAGGTGTGTAGTCTTCTTGGGAGTATGGACCAGGTCTGACATCACTGTGTAATTCACAACACCATGTCGTCAGACTTGTGACCAAAGTTCCAGAACCCGCATTGTAAGAACCATGATTCCTGCTACGTCATCTCTTACCGGAGAAAATGCTAATGACCTTATTTCACTTTGTTATGAAAATAATTTACAATATTACCTCCTAATTAACTTGCATGGAGCTTGAATTCATTTTAAAATTTTGACTTGATTTCTCAATGTGAGTTCTGATATATGGACAGATAAATTACAACCAGTTTTTAATCTACAACAAAGCATGATGCGTATTCTTCTCTACGTTAGCTGCACCACAACACAGCTCAGCAAACGAACACACAATGTACAACCAAGTGCAACAGAGCGCAACGCCTCCATATCTTACTACATACTCTGGCCATGTACACACTGTAGTTGCCTTCAATTCCAAAACAGTAACATTGGAAAACTAATTTTTCCCTTACATACCTTCACTGTGACTATATGTTCTGGTGAGATCCTAGAAATATTCCAGCTAAATAATTACAGTACTATGTCAGTGTGTTTTAGCAACAGCTTCTATATCTGTACGACGAAAATCCTGTAATGTCTACGTCAGACTAGTAAAATATATTCCATGTTTCAGAGAACTATATAACACACAATAACTTCAGTTCAGAGCTGCTATAATCCCCTGGCATAATTTGATATGCTGTAACTGTTCCCACATTCTAGCCGAATATTTGAGACAAACGAAATAAAACACAAAAGTGAGAAGAGCTACGAATTGCACCAGCCAAATATTGGCCATCTCAAGTCACATACATATATAAGTCTCATCAGTTTTCATCCTTAAACCCGCATAAAACTATTAAAAAATCTTAAAAATAATGGTTACATAATATACAAATAATTTCATTGTCCACAGGATGAGACGGCAGAGCTAAAAGCTGTAATGAACACAACAGTACTTAACTAGTTCAGAAAACATAATATGCAGCAAAAAAAGGTATTTAATATTCACAAGCATAAAAAGAAGCATAGTTTAAAAGAATTTGGTTGAGTAAATTCATAATAATTTCAGGAGTTTAACATTCAAATAAAATACAAAATACTGCAAGTTACCCAATGATCAGAGGCTGTATAAGTCATTAAAAAATGGTGTAAGTTCAACTTATTTAAACTTAATTAAAAATACAAATGTATGCATTATTTCATTACATCACTTAGGTAAAGTGAAAGTCTCATTATGCATCTGTAAACTCACTAATTCTTCACTTCTACCCACACAAAAACGGAAAATATTATATCAGCTGCTCACCCTGTAAATTACTCTTACTAAATACGATGCCTAGAAGAATTTGGAGCTCCTTTAGCCAATATAGTCATGAGAACTATATGTAACATGAGTGAAAAATGGAAAGCTACAGTATACAGTATTAGTAAAGTATGAGAACGTATTGTTAACTGTTATCACTACTGGAACAATAATCACAGTACATGTAACCATAATCTATATCCAGTAACAACTGTAATTGACATTTTCTTCATAACAGATTTAGCCACTCTCGGCTGGCTGCATTTATGAATACTGTACGTGCTGTTCAATTTAACAAGTCTGTGTAATCCTTTAAGGAGTAGTGCCATACTTTTATATTTTATTGATTAATGCCAGGTGACTTATGGGTCAATAACATTTGCATACCTCGTAAACTATAACAGTCGGATAGAATGGAGACATTATCATACACTCGATCTTTCTTCAACCAGTTGGAACTGTTGCAATTATTTTAAATTCTTTAACCCTTAAACACCAGATACCATCAGTGGATGTTTCAAGTACAGTACCTTGCATTGAAGTTTATACACAGATGGGGGCAGAGTAGGGAACCCTCAACTACCATTTAAGGGCTAACTGAGCACCTTTCTTTAAAAAAAACTCGTGTTTCATGGAGTGGGAAATTTCAATAAATCAAGATATTGTGCAAGGTATTTGTATGTCTTGGGATATTCATCAAAAATTCATTACATGAATGTTTTTCATTTAATCAGATTCTTCATAAATTTATTCTAATTCTCCCATCAACCTATACCTATTCTACTGGATGGCAATGATTTGCTAGAGCAGTGAGAGATGTGCTCATATCAGCCTTTGCATTTCCAGTAACAAACTCAGACCACAAGGAAATAAATAATATTAAATTTTTTGTGGGCTCCAGCATCAGGCATACAACATCTGGTCATTGTGGTAATTGCTTACATTCACTCAGACATCGGTCCAAAACTGCATACTATGTCAAAATAATTTTAATTCACACAATTGTTTCAATTAGAGTGGTAAGCGAAGTGCATAACAATGAAGAAATTATACTTCACTAACATCTCAGTCCAGTGAGTTTTATATAATGATGTATTAAGAACTAGAAATATACACTATGTTCCTCCCGTTAATGGAATACAACATAGTTGCAACTTGATAGTTTTCAGTCATTTTTTTAAGACAATAAAAAATAAGTACATTACATGAGCAGTTTAGTTATGATTAATGTGAAAAAGTCTTTCCACTTATTAAACATGTGCTATACCTCAATAGTCACAGTACTACAATGTGTTAGCAAGAAAAAGTGAAGGGGAATATTCTACACGTGGACGTCCCTCACATCCCAAAGGGAACAAGGCATTGAAATGATAGATTATAGAGCAAGGCCAAAGGTAGATAAGTGTACCAAGTGCAGGACTGTGTGTTTTTAAAAGGATGAATCTGGATATGTACCAAGACTTACTGTGTGTGTGTGTGTGTGTGTAGATGGAGAAGTCTGAGATGTACAGAAACCTGTGAAGATTTATCAAGATATGCAGGTGAGGGACTGTGTGGGGGAAGGAACCCGTAGATGTACAATATTGAATGTGTGTGTGTGTGTGGTTGGGAGATTCTGAGATGTATAGATATCTTGTTTGTTTGTTTATAGAAATCTTGTATCAGCCACCCTGCCATTAAGCAGATGGACTATAAGGTATAGAAAGTACAGTACTGTATAGCGATTAGAAAATCCATTTGAGATTCAAAAGACAGATAGTTATGATAAAAATATATATAACTTCTTAACAAATTTTACAGATAATTTCTACATTATAAAGCTATCCAAAGATTAATATTTGTGAATATTCCTTAATTCACTCGGCTGTGATCCCTTACATCTGCTCAGCTTTGACTCCCTTAAAAATATTAACTGCCAAGTTAAACTCCTCTACAATTAATCTGTTACATTGTGGATGCAGTTTACATGAGACCCAAACAAGTGATATTAACATAAATTATTCACAAACCTTCAATAAAAAGATTATGTGCAAACCATATAATCGGACATTATCCAAATATCGTGATAAAAAACATAACTCAAAAAAGTATCAAAACCAAAACAATATGCTTCGGAATCTATTAAAACAACATTTACAACACTACTCACTTTCTGTCAACTCAGCAAGGGTAAATTTTCTACGGTCATTAAAAAAAATCACGACCTGTTTACGGCCGGTATATGAGAGATCATTGGGCTACTGGTGGGTGTACAGGAGTAAACAGTCTCCAAATTCTAAAAGCAAAATAATGCTACTCACAGATGAGCCACATGAACATGGTGAATTCTTTCTCTTATCATTCCCCTCTCCCCCACCACTGTCAGTATCACAAAATATTTTCATCTCACAAATATGCTCTTCCTTTTACACATTCCATTATCCCAGGAGTTATATCATGGGCCTGTGTAGTCATATTCAGTTCATTACAGTTAATGATAATGGTACTGATACACCATCAATCAAAATCTTTTAAATCTTACCATTTCCAATAAAAATTATATTGGTAATTCTCATGTTAATAAAAAGAGTCAATTCAATTTAGCTTATCCAATTATTTATATTCTAAACCTTAAAACTATCAGGTATTATTTACATAATTTTGTTATTACTCAAGAGCATGGACGACGTGAAGCAATGAATGATACCAGTACAAGTCACATTCACTGACCATAGTTCATTAATTGACTGTCAGTAAAAATAATTAAAAATCCTCATAAAACAGATGAGTTAAAAAGAACAATACTACCACACTAATTTAAAAAATATATACGTACTGTATATATGTTAATAATAAAAACGATAAATATCAATAATATCAGTCCATTAAAAGTCAATGAAGTAAAACATTTGTTTCTGTTCAGTAAATTCTATCTTTCACATTACTGTACGGGTATATTATTCTTCCCTTACTGAACGGGTATATTATTCTTCCCTTTTTTCAAATTTAGTATTGTATAATTTGTCAGTAAAGAACTAATTTGCTTTAATAAATTATACAATTATATCATACATTATATTTTCGATAAGTTTTCCCACTGTTTTGGCCTTAAAAAGTGTCACATTAAACAAGCAGTGAACTCAACAGCTTAAGCATATTTGTAGATGAAAACCATTGATAAAATACAATACAGAATGTTCTACAAACAAGATGAGGAGAAACAAAATTCACGGGGTACCGGAACAGTGCAATACTTCAATATTGTTTATGGTATCCTGCTCACCCAAATACATTCTTAAAGCAGTCTCTAATTCATCTGCCAAAGGTTATCACTGGTGGTCTTCTTCAAGCACATGTTAAATCTTAATAATTATCTCTACGTTGGTAGTGGTGTTGTGAGGTTGATCCATGGGGCTGATTATTAAAGCGAGAACTATGAGCCCGAGCACGACTGCTGGGGTGCTTTCGCATGTTGAACCTGCTGGATAATCATTGTTAGGAATCAAGACAATACCATCATAATGTAACTAATTGTTCTAGCAGTTTAAATTCATTCATCAAGATATATAACTGTTTGTGTTTAGTTTATTATGTACCAGCTGCCAATCTTCCATTCTACCAAGTATAAACATATACAGTACATACCACTGGCTGTTACTATGCACAAAACAAATAACATATGTAGTGTAATATAATGATTGGATATGTAGGAATAATTTAAATCTGTAGCACCTATACCCTGTACTTAAAATCATTCTAAAAACAAGTAAAATTAATATATGAAAAAATCGTTTGGTTCAACAGCAGCCTATACAGGTATGTACTTCTTTTTAATATTTATATTAACATAATTAAATATCTAGGATGTTATGTAAAATACTGCAGTGCTTTTCTAACTACTGTAATTACATGTACTGTAGAGTACTAATAAAATATTATCTAACCAAACACAGCCCAACTTAACTACTGGGTAACCTACTCAGAATATAAGAAAACAAACGAACCAATAAAGATGACTTACCTTTCACGGTCACACTCCATATCTTCTAATCGTTGTGTGAGAGCAAGTTTCTGTTGAATGGCCATACGCAACAGAGAGTTGAGAGTTTTCTTCTCCTCCTCCGCAGCTACTAGCTGTCGCTGCACTTCATCCAGCTGGGTCACGTACTCCTCACATCGGGCGGCAAACATGGCCCTGAGACCTACACAGGGGAGTTAAGGTGTTGGCTCAATGTGTTTATTTCTGTATCAGGCATCAATTAAACTCCATGCTTAAAAAAGGTAATAGTACTACAGTAATTTATAATATTTTGGTGTTGTAGTAAAGGACACTATCTGCCTCATCTTATAAATCAAACATTTCCTGGTACTTACTAGAGAATGTAGCAGCATCCTCCTTCAGAAGTCTCAGTTCATTACGTAGTTTCATCATAGTCTCAGAAACTATGCTCTTCTCTGTCTCATACTTGGATTTGAGATTGGCTAATGCAACCTGAGGACGGTATGATTGAGATTAGCTTTCACAATTTTATATAATTTGATGATTAAATTAAACCTGGTGTATATAATTCATCAGCACAGCTACTAATAACTAAACCCTCAAAACGTTCATGTAAAAAACCCAAAAAACTTTAAAATAGGGCCTATAATTGGTTATAAGTAAAAAATGCAGTTTTAAAACATTCAGCCAAGATATTTATGATACAGTATAAACCATCACACTGTGTATCATTTCAAGTTGCCGAATGGAAATTAATTTCATACAGACAGACGGATGAACACTGGTAGCCGTATACAGTATAATGTACACTTCATCCTCCTCTCATGTACTAGTACACACGAGTACATAAAGTATATTAGCCAATAAAACAAAAGCCTATACTCTGTAATAGTCAGCACCGCCAAGCAACACCACCTTACCTCAGCAGTCTGCTTGTTAGCTTTGAGTACGGTGCGCAGCGTGGCAATCTGCTCCCTCTTGGTGGACAGAAGCGACTTGAGCTTAATCACTTGTTCCTGAAGTTCCTGCACCTCATTCTCACTCAAACCACCTAGGAGTAAATATGGAAAGGTTAATGCGAGTACAGTACTGTAAGTTGATGTGTATTTGACACCCCACTCAAACCACCTAGGAGTAAATATGGAAAGGTTAATGTGAGTACAGTGCTGTAAGTTGATGTGTATTTGACAACCCACTCAAACCCATGGCAATTAAGTGAACAATGCTTACAAACATAGAAATTCAATGTACATCTACTGTATGCTTTTCCATGACAAATATTTGCATATTTCCCTAATTTCTTAGTTGCCTATGTATCTATCATATCATTAATCAAACTTCAAAATCTGCATAGCTATTTACCCTTCGTCCGCTCATAACCACAAACAAATCCACAGTAAGCTAGAACTCACTATCAGAAGCTCCGGTCTCCCGAACAAGACCCTTCTCCTTGCTTAACTCTATGGTGTGTTCTACAGACTTCTTGAGATGTCTGAGCTGGTCCACTATGGTGTCCACAATCTCGCGTACTGCCTCTGGGTCACTATTGTCCACCTGCAAGAATTATTTTCTATGAAACAAGAACAGTTACAACAAAAGTGACTCAAAACCCCAAGCTCAAAGTTGATTGTCTAAAGTCCTAGGTCTGGTTAGAGGCAGGTTCCCCCCCCCCCCCTGAAAAGGCTTCATTCCAACTGGTAATGCTCACATAACCTATTATCACACACCTAATTCTCAATTTAACTGGTTAAATGGGCATTAGTCCTAATAGGCCACAACCTAACCTACCCATTAGGATTGAGGTTCAGTCATAATGGGTAAATACTACCATTGAATAACAATTTATGAACAAATCCTACCACAAAAAGGTTAATTTGCCAAGCAACTTACAAAGTCTGAGAGAGTGACGTCTGTGCGGAGTTTGGTGCGGAGAGCCTCAAGTTGTGTTGCAGCCAAGGTTGGGGATGATGGCTTGTGATTTTCTCTATCCCCTGAAATAAACATAGATGATATCCAAAGTGAAATTACTGTAATAGAAACTGGCAAGTAAATAAGGAGTTCGAAATTAAATTGGGTTTCTCAAGGAAGGTAGACAGGTAGAAATTTGGGAGACAACAGAACGATAATAGAGGAAAGTCACTTGTAAACATATATCCTGGCTTGGGATATAAACAAAAAGATGGCAATGGAAATGTGGATCATGCCCTGTAGTTGACTACTGTATAATGTGGGCACTATTCAATTTGCCCAAGGCCTGGCATGTCTGATACCCTAATAATATTCCCTATAGTTCCATTTATTATTCACCTTAGAATAAATGGATTTCAAATGGTAATCTGTCATTGTCATAAGTCAGATGGCAATATGATGACTAGACTGAGAGAAAGAAATCATCATCCAGGCCAACTGAACAAACTATTTCTAAAGCCAAAATACCTACCTTATACTGTACTTATATCCATCTTGTTGTCAGTGTATTCAAATGTAACTTGCTTATAAGAACCATCCTCCTGTTTCCTGCCACATACCTTTTTCTGTGTTGTGCCCCTGTTTACTGTGATCTAGCAGCACTCTTGACGGTGTCTCGCCATTAACGGTACACACATGGTGATACAACTGTGCGAGTTCTTCACTGATAGTCCTGTAAAACACAATATATTAAGCATAAATAAAGAGAAACATATTACTGTATGCATGTATCCCATTTACCACTGCTAATATTAAGATGAAAATGTCACAATCAAACCTCCTATCAACACACAATAACAGAGTAAGTTATTGATAAAACAAAAACTAGTACGTGTATACAAAGACACAAGGCACTAACCCAAGGTCATTTTTCGTTATGGACAAGGATCCTTCTCGACTGTTCATCATCTGACTGAGAATGTTCACGTCATTGCTGAGGTCGATGGATTTTTGTTCTGTATCAACCAACTGTCAACAAAATATATAACACATTACTACAAACTCAGTTACTGAGAAATTATGTTATGTAACAGTAATCAATTTAATTACTTCTAAATACAAAATATCAGTGATGTATCATTATGAATGGCTACCAATGCAGTTCTTCTCAAAATTACCCTAGAACGTATTGTTGCCACTTCATTACGGAGTTGCTGGACTGCATCACTCGCTGTACCACTTTCAGAGTTTTGAATATCAGTCAGACTCTTCTTCAACTCAGATATCTCTTTGGATGCAAGTTGATACCTAGACTTCTGCTTCTCTAAAAAGCTTACAAGGTTTGCAGTGTCTTCAGCCTTCATCTAAAACATAAGACTTTTGTTACTTTTGTTCTGTTGTATTGAAAAGTTATGATGCAAGTCTCATTCATGATAAGTGCAGTGAATGGTTGTGAAATGCTTAAAATGTTTTGTTTTCATCAAGTTTCAGGCAGCAGGGGATTTGATGAGCCTATGGAATAAGGGGCCTTAAGTTATGTATCATAACTAACTACAGGGTAAAGCAAATTGGAGTGATGAATTGATTACAATCATGTTTAAAGATCAACCAAGGTAAAAAATAATTTCCTACTGTCTGATGATTTAAACTTTCCCTTATATCAGCTCAAAATCTAAATTTCACCAACATCTGGTTCACACATCAAAATGAAAACTTAAATACAGTAGTTTAACTTTTTTTTACATAACATAAATCTAAGTTTCCTTGAAGAATGTTTTCTAGGTGCAATGTACTATTCTGGCCTGCAAGCTGTGGCACACCTCTTCCATCTCATTTAATATAGATACAGTATTGGCTAACACAGGTAGAGACAGAAGAGTGGACCTTTTTACATTACTGCACTAATATTTATTTACCAATTATATTCAAGATTTAGCTACTAGAAGTCAAGAATTAATGTACATGTACAATGGCCACATATTATAATGGATTTTTCAGTGGTTTACTCATATACACACACAAAAAAAATATATATTTGCTTTCTAATCATTTTCAGATCCCCTTACCTGACTTGGGTTCTCCTGATCGTGCAGCTTAACAAGAGCAGTGATGTGGCCCAGGAGATGTGAAACCCGAGCATGCTGAGCATCCAATTCCCCGCGGGTCTTCTCCAGGCCCTCCTGACTCTCCTTAAGGTTGGTGGTCAGCTGACTCTTCTCATGATCAGCCTGGTTAATAAAATATAACAAGTTTAAGGATAATGCACATAAAATATAGCATTATATTTTTTCTCTAAATTAAAAACACAAAAATATCATTTTACATTAAGACACTTGACACTTCTCAAGTACAATAAAGTACTGTATATAGAGCTTTCAGTACAAACCTCTTCCAGTTTCTTTTCTAGTTTACGCAGTTCATTCAGATGGATCTCAGAGAAAAGGTCTCCTCCCATTTCTGCAGTTCCTCCTCCAGCACTCATTAATTCTGACTCTAACCTCCGGAGGACCGGTGTATCATCCTCGCCATCACTTTCACCAAAGTCTGCGCTGCCTACACAGGATAAATAAGGTATTTATGAGCTTACTGAGATGTTCTCTCAAACACACACACCTTAAACTTAATTTGTTTCCATCTCACTTGATGGCAAATTTATAAAAAATAACTATCCGAATATTGTTAATACTTTACAGTTATATGATCAGTTTCCTAGAAAATGACATACACAAATATTGTAAGCAAAAAATCTTTCAACTCACCTGAAAGTTTCATACTCATAGCAAGATTTGACAAGTTGTACATGGACTCGGAATTCATTCGACCGTCAAGCTCCTTTTTAAGAGCATATTTGGCTTCTCTTTCTGCCTGAAGAGATTCCAGGGCTTCCTCCATCTGTCTTTCAGCAATTTTCTTAAGGTTTGCCAACTCCTCCACCTGCTGGTTGAGAACTTCTGTTTCTTCTTGAAGCCGTCGAATCTCATGTTTGGCTCCCTCGAATTCAACTTGTGATGATCTGTTGAATAAATAGTCTTCCATTTAATAATGTCATCTACACATAAGACTAACACTAGTTTTATTTAAGCTGGGGAGATATAAATATGTATTATAGAGAGAAATACAAGTCTAGGCATAGCTCTATGTGCCTTTCACTCAAATTGTTTAATTCATAAAATACTGCCCCTTAAACTTAATGCAATTAAGTTTGACAAACCTACATAACCAAATAATTATGAAACAAAACATGAAAAATCATACAATAAAATACTGATTCTTAGTATCTCATTAGCATAAAATTCAACTGAAGCCATTAGCACTTCACCCTGACACATGCCAGCCAACCCTACCAACATTTAATCAGATAATGGCATGAGAGGTACACACCACACTAGCCAGCGGGAGGGAAGGGGTCGGGTGGGGGGGGCTCAAACAACCACACCCACTTTGCTAACTTGCCACACTAGCATCAAAAGTGTCTCCCTTTTTAAAGATAATTGAAGGATTTTTTTATGTATAGAATGACTTTCTCCTTCTAAACATACAGTATATTGTGTATAGTAATGTTGGCTAGCTGTAGGTACAGTTGTGAAACAGGTAGTGATTCTGAAAAATAAAATTAGTTTCAAGGAATTCCAAGTGTGTACATTACAACAGCACCAACAGGTTCCTTACTTGAGATTAGATATCTGTTTTTGTAGGGTAATATTTTCATCTTCCAGTTCTGCATAGTCCTGGAATAGTCGTGTCTCACGGAACTTTAGGTCCTTCAACTCGGCTTTTAACTGTTTCTTTTCGTGGTCAGTAATATCTTTGTCCTTCAGCAATTCTGCAAGTTCTGTGTAGTAGCGAGATTTCTCGCTCTGTACTCGCTCTAATTCTGCCCGACACTGTTCAAAGACAAATCATATATAATATCAGTTGACTGTAATACCATACTTGCCATCCAAAAGTCAATCCAACCATCCCATCACTTAAACAATGATCTATGAATTCATCCATGTACAGTATATTCATAACTGTACCTTCCTATAACAATACCTACACATGCACATATCTCATCATCCTTCTCATCACCAATATAAACAATAATCAACTAATTTGTCAATTAATCTAATTCATGATTTTTTTACCATTTTGATATTAGTTTTTAAATTGTAAAATCTTGTGAGCCACCGACAGTATACACTTGGTGGTTCTCCTGACTAGTGAAAGTTAAATACAGTACAGTTATTTCAACAAGGAAAGCCACTGCAGTCAATGCTAATATCATAATTAGTCATATTTAACCACTGGATTTTCAGTATTTATTACTGTTTGGGATTTCTTTTCTTTGGGTGTTGCATATTTAATGCCAAGTCTTACAGTACAATATACATTATCAGAATACAGGTTAGCTACAGTATTTGGTTATCTAAATATCCACAAATACTTACAGAAATTATACCGTATGATTCTAAACAATAGCACAAATCTTACCTGTTTTGCCTCGAGTTCAAGCTCGATAATTTGTGAATTAAGAGAAGTTTCTCGAGCAGCAGACTCTGATAGGAGACTCTCTTCTGTCTCTATACCACTCGCTGTGGCAACACGGTGAGTTGTCTGGAACTTTGCTAGAGCCTGGAAAAGAAGTCAGGGATACCAGTACACCTAAATATCACAAATTTTATGCCCCAGTCTTGAAAACCTGTACAGTATAAGTATTTAACAGATAGGTGAAAAAATTAGCCACTACAAGATCAAACTCTAACTTATCAAGTCCCAAGGCAACATGATTCTTGATGATACATTACAGGAACAGTATATTGTATATACTGTAATGTACTTTATACATATACAGTACTTTATATAATGACCATGACGATTCCTTGAAAATGCTATGAATTTATGGTAGACGAGTGTTCGTGTTTATGGCTCAGTTTTCTCAATATTTACAAAGAACATTTTTTTGAGAGTACTATAAGTATAAATCTGGAACCATCTGAAGCACACAATTAATTTTACCTCACATGCAGTGATTAGGGGAACAGACAAAACAAATCACTTAAATCTGTCTTACTGTGGCAGGAATATTGAGCACCACCAATCTTCTGAGTAAAAAAAAATCCTTACTAATGCATATAATTATGTAGAGATAATTTTTTTCTTTAGATGTACCGAGTATGAAACTTTTAATCCCATATGGGGGGTCGATGAGGTCTTTTAAAGGGCCAGACCTGACAGCCAACACACCTGACATCACGGGGTTTAACGAGTCATAGAGGTATAATTCTCAACAATTGGGATAAACTATGTCAGGTTTTGGTATCATAAATATGGTAATAGTCAAAGAGAGAGGAGAGAGAGAAAGGGGTATGGGAGGGGGTGATACAGGCCGCCCCCCTCCCCCCCACTAACAGCTGACGACCACAGCCAATCAACCAAGACAGGTGACCCGCCCTACTCTACCCCCATAACTGACTGTACTTACCTCACGCGTATTCTCCAATTCATGCCTAGTGTTCTCGTATAATGCCTCCAATTCCTCGCATTTCCCTTGTAAACTTTCCTTTTCCTCTAACAACACCAAACCGTACTGAGCTGCTTGGTTTTTCTCACTGCTCGTCTGGTCTAATTCCAAATTGAGCCTCTCCAGCTCCTGCTTGAGAGTGTCTAGGGAATCCATGGTGTATGTGGCAGTAATCCCCGGGCTACAATAACAAATACACAGAGTTAACGCTACACAACAGTCACCAGAGGACGGCCCATGGCACCTCCTCACCCTCAGCGAGTCTCGGGGTTTTGTGTACACTTTACTGTATGACAACCTGTTTTAAACAAACCCTCTATAGTAATCAAAATCTCAGGAAAATTATCATGTTATTAAGCATTTGAGAATGTGTTGATAAAATATTTTAAATCTTTTGTTCCCTTTATAAAAGGCAGTCGATAAAGTAATAAATTAATTGATATCTAGATTATTGGAATGGTGAGATATAGAAAACGAACACTTAACAGCGTAACCTAAACTATTTTAACTAGAACCTTCTCAAACACATTTCAAAGCTGTATAGCCTGTATTTTAATGGTTTTCTTCTTACATTCATTTTACTTACTAATAAATCCACATTCGAACTCTTCTTTGCTATATTCTAAAATAATATAATGTACTGCTTTTGTTTAAGCCTTGCAAATACAACCTTTCATTTGCATGAGACCAAAACAGCTTTATTGATGACTTGTAAAAACATTTTGCAGTTGTACGGCTCAAAGCATTAATTACTTTTATCTTTACCCTGATCAATGATTCTCCCTGATGCGAAATAATTATAGAAATAGATCACAATTATACAAGGAATGTCTACGGTTTCCAGACCTGTTGCTGTATTAGCCTGAGCTAACGTCCAGAAGCTTCATGCTCTATTTACTGCCTTTAACTTCATTCAGCATTGAAAGCCCGGTATTGTTTACTACCATCTCAACAAGTGCTGTCTGTCTGTGACACTTGTACAAAACATATATCCTGCCATCTCTAACAATAATAACAATAGCAACCGCACTAATAATAATAATAAAAGCCAATTTATAGGTTACACCATTCCTAACTCAATAGTAATTACATTAATGTATTAACATCATCAAGCCATACTGCCAAATATATCTTATTTGGTTTATGGTGTTCAAAATGTTAGCCGAAATTAAAGATGTGGTGCAATTATTTGTGTAATGCTTTGATACACGTGTGTTTGTGTAAAAGAGAGACCTACTTACACTTACATAAACTAAATTAAAGCGCAAGCTACAGAAAGGCAGACAGGCACACGCAAATGTGGTCACCTGTCCTTCATAACCCAAGCACCACTACTTCCTTCTTCCTTCAACATGCATATAGCCGTCTTCATCAAGGACTCTTTATATATGGACAGTATATCGCCCCAACTTAACAGTGGTATATCAAGGGGACCTTATGATTGCCCGAAGAACCCCGGAAAATTAAGAATTACTTTCATCATTATATTTACAGTAAATATACATACATATATTATTTATTCTGGAAACGATACACTATTTAACCTGAGAGTGGTAAATTAAGACCAGAATTTTGACCTTCGTCGGGTGGGTCATGTCATGTTTCGGGTAGAATTGATTCAATATCCCATTGAATGACCTGAAGAGAGGGTACCGTACTTCGGGCACCAAAAACATCAATATTAAAAATTTATAATAATAATGTAATAAACGTTGATTTACATTTTATCAGCGAGGCTTTCCAGACAACCAGGAAAGCCAATACTGTAATCTCGGTAAAAGACAAAACCTCAACAAGGAATTATTGACAGACCCCGTTAGACAGGCTAATAAAACACGACGTCTTAGCTGCATTCCTGAAGGAGATGATTGTGTGACTGAGAGAGTTAGCGTGAGTCACAGGTAGGAGATGAACCGCGCTATGTGTGAAAGTCACGGATGACTCACCACTGAGCTCTACATCTCACATCCACCTGGACGAGGGACCCGGATTTCTCGGTCATGTTTCCTTCGTGTGTTTATATAATGGAAACTGAGTATACTTAACTAACTGGCTACTAAAATCTACGACGCCAAAGTTTGTCACCATCGTTTGGGATGAAAGTTTCTCTTACTTGCCTCTTTGATCTAGAAAGTTTATGATATTAGTCTACAAAGTTTTTTTTTCACTAAAAAGTTAATCCCAGGCATTAGAAACCTTCCGTAGTGAAGTAAATTAAGAAAACTGAATTCGGCCTTTTTGTGACAGATGCAAAGTGAGGAAGATGGAAGATGGTGGTAAATAAAGGAGGTACTGTACTTAAACTATCAAATGGGGAACGAACACGTAGCACTGGTTTTGAATTGGTGAATTTTAGCTTTAGAAAGGATATAGGTAAAATAGCTTCAGAAACAGTTATATCACGTGAATGAAACAAGCTTACAAAAGACCATCATTAACTCGAAAAAGAATACAGTATCCATATTTCAAAGAATATTATGGGAATTAAACTCTGGGTTTCTTTATCGACGAGTAAGTTGGACAGATCTATATTATAATGGTTGGGTTACGGTGTTAGCAGGAATTAGCTGCTTCACATATATCAAAATTAGGTCTGCTGCTGTTTCTTCTGGAATATTTAAATAATTTCAGCATCATATTCGTGACCACTGTCTACAAATTCGAAAACGCTTGAGATGAACGTCCTGTAGCAAAGATGATTAACAAGTTTTGCAGAATTCAAGTTTAAGGATGGTGACCTACGGGCTACTCTCCTTTTTGAAAATCGGTGCAGTATTACTATAGCTCCAATAATGGTATAAACACGTGTTAACATTAACCCAACCCCGACATTGTAACACACATGCCAGAGACCCAGACACACAACATCAAATACCAAAAAGAAAAACAGGAAATTGGGGACTTACCTGAGAAATGAGTTTATCAGAAACCAGTAGTCTGTATGAAGCAGCTGTGGTGTGATCTGTTGAAGGGTTGTTTGAATAATGGCTATTGACCTGGGTTCAGTGCCCACTTTATATAATGGAGATATTTCCCCAACATTGCTGGTTGGTTAGTGAGGTCATCGCACGTGATTGGATGTCCAGCGTGTACCGTCCACCGTGTTGCCCCCCCCCCCCCTACTGAGGTGACATCCCACATGATATCAGGTCACATCTTACATGATATCAGGTCACATCTTACATGAAGTCAGATCCTTACACAGCCCCACCTTACTTCTTCATGCCAAATATTTGTTTTCCCATGTACTGTATATTTAACATTTATTTATCTATTGTTTTGATTATTGTTTTACTGAGTCTTCGCAGAAATTAATAACTACTTTAACTAATATTTTGATGACGTAGCGCCATTATATAAAAAAAGGGATAAAAACTTAGATGACCAACGATTTTCGTAGCACAAGAAAAAAATAGAGATATATATTAGAATACCTGAATCTTTATCTGATGATCCACGAATCACATCAAGAAATATTTAGCTTTGGCCTGACCTAATCTAACACAGGGATGGTAACGTTAAATTAACAAAAAGTCTTTGACACAATGGATCATGAAATATGTAAAAAAAAAAAAACTGCAGGCTCTTGACATTGGATCAATTGACTGGTTTAAGCCTTGGCTTGTCGATAGAAAATTGGGAATAATAACAAGTTAACATCCTTGCCTATAGCTGGGACCATTGCTCTTCCTTGTTATGTAAATGTCATGCCCATTAGTGTTAATTGCACTCGTTTGTTGTATGCTGATGATAGTGCCCCTTTAGTGCCAGATAAAGCTCTCCATGATATAGCTAAAAAGTTATCATCTGAAATGGCGTCATGCGAACATTGGATCATATACAACATATTATCCCATTATTGTGGAAAGACTAGAGCAATATTATCTGGAACCCCCAAAAGAAAATGGACCCATCTCTCGAGAATAATGTCTTTATATTAATGCCAGACGCCTGCTCGTTCTGGTACTTTCCCCTTAACACAAAATCTAAAAGTCAAACTAGAAATTATTTTTTACAGGATGGCGATTTTTTTTCTGGATATGGACGCAAGAAACCTTATTGATCACAAAGACCTGCGAACATTGGACCTGTTAAGTGCGGCAGGTAGAGTGGAGCAGTTGAGGCTGAATAGGTTTTTAGGATTTTCACTGGATTGTGCCCAGAATATCTCTCAACAAACTTTGAAAGGATTAGGGATATGAACCGGCGGGGTATAGACTTAACAGGAGGGTGGCACAGTAGGCTAAAGGTATCAGGTGGAGAGGGAACATCCAGCACCTGACCAGACCCAATTAGGCTTACCGGTTGCAAACGTCAACCTGTGGCCCCAGGGGCGGATCCAGGAATATAAAAAAGGCGGGGTCTAAGAAGTTGTGGGTGGGGGAACAGGGCGAGAACCGCGAACTCACCCAGATGGGGGGCTGGGAGGGGTGGCATTTTGAAGCCATGTGCACTTGAAATTAAGAGATATATTGAGGTCAATAGTAAGTATTTTTTACTATACAAAAATGCCTGAGTACAATGCTGGATTAAAGAAAAGTATAGGAATTTTCTGATGAAAAGGGGGGTCCGGACCTCCCTGGATCCGCCCCAAGTTAGTGCTAGGGTGCTTAGTCAAGTTAAATAAACTGTGGTGTCTAATTTCATGGTGATCCAAGAAAAAAATCCCTAAGTCTTTCGTGTGATCATTGAGGGAGAAAAAAGATGAACAACCAAATAAACACAAGAGTTTATTCATATGAAAGTACTGAGACCTCACAAGTACCGGGGTAATGTTATACAGGGTTAAGAGGTTACCATGACCTGATTATTTCGGGAGGTCAGTTCTGCAGCCCTTCTGGAGGCGGTGTAAGCTGTAGGTCTTTGGAATGAAAACAAATCCTTGACTTTATGATTGAAACACTTAAATTTATCTTGAGAATTATAACGTGTTGAATAATTTTTAAAAGGAAAAATTGCCTTACATAAAGATTAGTTCTCCCAAGCTTATTTGATCTAATTAGGCAACCCAATTTGATGCACCCAATGATTAGACACCCTAGCTTATTTCACCTGGTTAGACACCCCAGCTTATTTCACCTGATGATTAAACACTCCAGCTTATTTCACCTGATTAGACACTCCAGCTTATTTCACCAGACAATTAAACACCTCAGCTTAATTCACCAGATGATTTAACACCCCAGCTTAATTCACCAGATGATTCAACACCCCAGCTTAATTCACTAGACGATTAAACACCCCAGCTTAATTCACTAGACGATTAAACACCCCAGCTTAATTCACTAGACGATTAAACACCCCATCTTAATTCACCAGATGATTCAACACCCCAGCTTAATTCACTAGACGATTAAACACCCCAGCTTATTTCACCAGATGATTCAACACCCCAGCTTAATTCACTAGACGATTAAACACCCCAGCTTAATTCACCAGATGATTCAACACCCCAGCTTAATTCACCAGATGATTCAACACCCCAGCTTAATTCACCAGATGACTCAACACCCCAGCTTAATTCACCAGATGATTCAACACCCCAGCTTAATTCACCAGATGATTCAACACCCATACACTATCTAAGGAGTAGGTTAGGTTAACATAAGGTTGATTAATCTTCAGGTGAAATAAACTTAGGTATCTAATATTCAGGTGATCTGGAAAATTTGATAAATGTCATCTAATAGATTCAAAATTAAGTCTTATTTAGAGAATGTTAGGGCATTGATCTTGAGGGGATTGAAATATTGATCTTAAGGTAGTGACCAAATTATTGATATAGCTTTATTATTGATTTTGAGTTTACTATATTGTTGATGTTGAAATGATTGTGAAATGGTTTAATTCTATACAATAATTACAGTACCGTACTGATTTGTAAATAGGGAGAAGTTGTTGATCTTCCAATGAGGGTCAAACTTAGTTAAGGAATGGAATAAGGTTAATTTATAGACTAATATTGAAAAATTAATAATATATCATTTTATTTTCTACAATGTACAGTACAATGATGTCAATTTTATTCCATGTCACTATTACTATTATGTGTTGTACAATTATATTTCCTAATTTTAAAGCATTCAGTTAGTAATTTTTATATAAATGATTAATTCAAAAGTCAAAATTTGAATTGAAACTCACACACTTCTTGTCTTAAATAATTGTTAAAAAACTGACTTTGGTCGAGTACTGGCAACCAATAAGGAAAGAAGCACAGTAAGGCACGGACTTCATCACTACCTGCTCGCATCGCCTTTAAAAGAGCATTCTCGATAACAGACAACTGTGTAGGGTTGTTAAGATACTTTGGGCCCTGGGTAACAGTTATTGGTAGTGTTAGCAGATAGACAAGGTGCTGCATGTGGGTTGGAAAGAGTTCATATAACTCCCTATCCACTTCACTAAAAATCTGTGCAAAATAATCTCTACTTCCCAATATACAACTTATTGAAAAATTACTCTGCACTACAACTTTAATGAGAAATTGTACACACAAAGAAAATACAGAACGACTATAGACAGCAGCCAATACTAGAGGAGAATGTGCCCATAAATTACTTTTTATACATTCTAATTCAGATTCAGTTGGAGATTCGTCTCTCTTTCTTTTAATACCAGTAGATTGGTCACTGTTTACAGGTTCACCATGTGCCTTGAAGTGAGCAATGCTAATTTCTTTTTTATTTCTCCAGTCGTCTTTGTACACAACATTGGCATACTGACTGAGAACACGGATCATCTCATTTTCAAGTGCAGATACATGCTGTTCATAGAGTGTTGCTGTGACTTCTACAGGGAGGTACTTCTTGTTGGACAGCCCTTCCTCTAGTTTATGCCACACTGAACTGTTCCTGAAACCAATAGCAACATTCATAAATTAATTCATAAAAGCAGGAATAATTTTATTGTCCTGGTTCAAATATATTCAAGGCTGTACAGTACTAAACCATAAAACACACTATGTAAGAACAGAATAAATGTTTGACAGGCACAATTACAATACAGGTATACTGTACTGTATATAATCAGACTCCTGTTTACCTGGGGAGAGAATGCAGAATCTGGGAACAACCTTTAGCATTGTGAGGTAAAGCAAAACACAAACTTGGGAGGACATCTTCTAGAAGGTCTTGTTTACTCGCCTTATCACAAGTTTCTAACAGTTGCACGGTCACATCTAACACACGTGGTAAAGGCACATGCTGTATCCATATGTCATTTTGACCAAAGATATTTTCATTCTGGAAAAAAAAGGGATAATCACCATTACTTTTTTCAGGTTAAGAAGAATTCAATAAAATACTTTTCTTTAATCAAGAAAAATAATTCCTTCATCATTACTCATAATGATTAGATGACAATAACCTAGACAAGCCAAACTGGCTACTGTAAATAAGTTAGTTCCAATTCTTTTAAAACTTTACGAAGTCTAATAATTCAATACTCAATTAGGACTAATGCTCAGTTAAATGATGGAAAGACATATTAATAAAAACAAGTACTGTACTGTACAGTATTTTCACATACATTTTTTTATATAAAACTGGACTATATATTCTTATATTTTATAGTTTTAATTTGGTAACAGTGTGTGGGTGTGTTAAAAGTCAGTAAAGAAAGACCATACAAGTATCTACTAACTACATAGTCTAACTACAGTACTGTATTCCAGTTATAAGCATCTCACCTCTGTTTGTATATCTTCAAGTGAAGAGTCTAAGCCCTCATTCATAGTTCGTGCTTCAACAAGATGATAGTCTCTGTTGAACAAAATAAACAATTAATATAGGCAATAATATTATATCCTTGGCCTGCTCTTATCATTAACCAAGTAACAGCTAAATCTGAAGGACAATGTCACGTAATGGCTGGTGCTAACGGGGGCTAGATGACTGACTCTTACAAGATTCCTGCAAAAGGTTCATAAATGAGTCATATCCTAATACTGTACAGTATATTAAACTCACAATCTTCTCGGTCGGTCCTTGTGTTATACAAATTTTATCATTACATTCCTTAAATATGTACAGAACAAAACATAGTTACAGGCAGTCCCCGGGTTACGAACATCCGTCAATATGAACAAGGTTAAACTTTAAATTTACAGTATTTTATTTACCTGATGACTTTTTTCACTCTCATTTACTGTATTTTGTCATTCTAATTCTTTTCCCTTAAATTAAGTGATTTTAGATGTATATAAGAACTTAGGCTATGATATAGTGGGATTTTAAACATTATTATGTAAGCACAGTATACACATAAGAACATAAGAATGGAGGAAACTGCAGCGGGCCTATTGGCCCATACTGGGCAGTCCCGTTTACACCCAACCCCTATTGCTCATACAGTATAAGCATCCAACCTATGTTTGAAGCAATTCAGCGTATTCGAGTTAATGATGATATTTGGTAACTTGTTCCATTCATCCACTACTCTGTTTCCAAACCAGTGTTTACCTATTTCAGGCCTAAATCTAAATTTGTCTCATTTAAAACCATTGTTACGAGTTCGCTCCTGGTTGGATAGTTTGAGTACCTTTGTAATGTCCCCTTTGTTTAGCCCTGCCTTCCACTTATACACCTCTATCAGGTGGCCCCTCGCTCTACGTCTCTCAAGGGAGTGCAAATTAAGATGCTTTAACCTGTCTCTATACTCAAGGTTCCTAATGCCCGGGATTAGTCTTGTCATTCTCCTCTGAATTCTTTCCAAGGATTCTATATCCATTCTGTAATATGGTGACCAGAACTGAACTGCGTAATCCAGGTGTGGTCTCACAAGAGCAAGATACAGTTTTAGGATGACCTCGCTAGTCTTGTAACTAACACTCCTTTGTATGAACCCAAGTACTTTATTAGCCTTGTTACGAGCAAAAACACATTGTTTACTTGGCTTAAGGTTCCTACTTATCATTACTCCTAAATCTCTCTCGCAGTCTACATTTTCGACGTAACGTCCCCAGGGACAGAACTCGTTTGCAACCCAGGGACCCCCTGTACGCATTTTATAAGAATAGAGTTATTTTAAAATCATGATACGAATAAAGCAGTTTCTCTATCATTTAATTACATGTTCAATGGAATTACCTATACATACATTAATTAGGTTATAGATATGCGTCCTTTTGGCTAACCTAATTTTTTATTTTTCCGTCATTACCGACATACACAAATAGAACAAGACATTAATTAAGGTTTTGTTAATACTAATTTATCATAAACTCTTGTCTTGTCGGTATTAGTTCACACAATAAATTTACAATACAAAAGAAATTGAATTCTTCAGAATATTTCTCAAACATGAAAAATATCTAATCACTTTCAGAAGGATTGAAGTGAATTTATATCAATCCATGACTGCCATAGCTCATGTAATCTAAAAAAATTACAGTAAGGTGTAATGATAATAAAATAAATGCCACATCATAACCTGTCTTACACATTGGCTAGTTTCAACCTTAAGGCCTTTGTTCTTATCCCAATATAAGTAATCATTAACCAACCATCATTCTCACCATCCTTTACCAAATTCAACATGATTTTAACAGATATAAACAGCCATTTAGTTAAAAGTCTCACCTTGTGGTTAAATTACTCCCACGAACTTTAAAAACTATACCAGAGTCATGATATTAATTCAAGACAGTACTATAAATCAGTTTATATATATACCCTTTATTATGTCGTTTATAGTATAATTATCCTCATAAAATAAATAATAATTTATAATTTTGTATTCATTTTAAAGTAACAAGTTAATCAAACGGTGAAGAATGTTTTATATTGGTGTTATTTTAACTGGATCAAGAACCGTAACTAAGGAGATGTGGTTGAGTGTTAATCAGGGTTCAAAACTGTGCCGCCTCTAGTGATCCTTCTACCTCCCTCTCCTTATTTAACATTCTATGGAAGGTATAGTCTATTTAACTTTCATCTGTAATATATAACTTGTGACAAACTTACGAATAGATACTTGTAAAAAGGGAGACAATTGTTCTTTAGTTGGTTTCTGTTGTAATTTGATGACATTTACTCCTCCGGGCCATGGTGTTTTCAGTGTTTTTTTTTAAGTATTACCGATCGTATGTGTAACTTTTTTTTTATATGTTATAAAGATTTCACATACAAACAAACTATCGTATATTTCTATGATCTAGATAAACTTTTATTCATTATCAACAAGAGCATTGCTGTACTGTACATAGAAAGACAGTGTAAAGTACAAGGGACTGTGTTCACCTGCTGCCTAATGAAAAATATCCCTAGAAGGCAACCTATTTTAGTAATGCGTTTGTGTATTTTTATTTCTTTTTATTTCTTCATAGGAGGTGTCTGTCTGCCAAGTTTATTTTCTGCAATAGAAACTTGGTTCGTTTCATAGATTTTTTTTTTATATAGATACAGGTACTGTACATAATATAATTCATTGTTCATAAAATAAATAAAACTAACCTCCCAAACTTAACCTTAATCACTACAATTGTTATTTGTCAGTATTGCATCATTGTGAAGTGGGTAGGTGGCAGTATATTTAGTAATGGGAAACTTGGGCAAACACCTAAATATGAACTGTGCTATTCCTCCATCCAGTTTGTTTTGGTCTTGAGGTGAGAAATAAGTTTTCTTTTTTAGAGATTTTTTGTTTGGTGGCTGGATAACCTGGACCCTTGTTCTTAACTACAAAAGGCACTTATCTATAAACATAAGCCGCCCAGCTTTTATCTTATCAACACTCCTAAGCTTTTGTTTTTAAATTCTTTAATGAATATACCTGTAATTCCAGATGAACTCTCCAAGACGAACAGTCGAGAGTCTAACTAATGACATTTTAGCCAAGATGGGAGCTTTGTCATTAATGGAATTGGCGCAAACATCACCCAGTGTCCTAACAACAGGTTCGTGTCTTTACTTCTTTTGTTTAAGAAATTGTCCAAACTTTTTCTATTTAATTTGTTTCAGAACTGCAGTTTCATCATTTTTCTGTCCCCATAGGTTAGGTTAAGTAAGGTTGTGTGTGAACAGTAATGTATTGGTAAATTAACTATGCCAGCTTTATCATTTATAGCAGCTTGATACTCAGGATGTGTCATTCAAATGTTGTCATATTTATTGTTATTTGAGTAAGAGTTTGACATTTCTGAACCTCTAAATTTTAATGTATTGCATCCTTGAAGGGGGTACAGACATATGCATGCTTTTCACACTTTCCATTTAAGAATTGTTAATACAAAAAGTTCAACATCATAATTATGTCTAGAGTAGAGGTGCATTTTAACCAGACCTGGTGTATGGATATAGTGTATCACTTCAAGATCTCAGAGTAGTTCAGTGATCAGCGAGGAACTTACTCATCCCTCAGTGGCACCCTTGTCAAGATGGAACAATTTGAATGATCAAACTTGTTTTTCACTTTACCCTCAGCCTCTATCATACATCCAGAGTACTGTACTGGTCATTAACATCTAATGAAAGAGTTATCCCTTATGAAATAGATACAGTACAGTATGGTATGTTTTCCCCATTCACAAGATTTTATCTTCCTGCTTGTATGAGTAAGTGCACATAAAGGTAATTGTAGTTAATATATAAAATTTTAAAGAATTATTTCAGTAAAACTGCTATCCAAAATGTTTTAATTTCTTTATTGGGTGTATCATGATAAACTGTAGTACTCTACAGTATTGCTAAACAGTATATACAGTACTGTATTTTCTATTCTGCATATTGCCCCTGTTTTATATATATATATATATATATATATATATATATATATATATATATATATATATATATATATATATATATATATATATATATATATATATATATATATATATATATATATATATATATATACAGTACAGTATATATATATATATATATATATATATATATATATATATATATATATATATATATATATATATATATATATATATATATATATATATATATATATATACAGTACAGTACAGTATTAAAAAACATAAGTGTATCATTTACAGATATCCATATTGGTGCAGCAAAGGAAGCATTAGAGGCAGGAAAAATGGAGGATGCTTTTCACCAGTTGTCTCTGTCTCATTCAACACAGATTAATCACCGCATGGATCAGCTGCTCTGCAAGTCTAGGTGACTTTTATAGGCTTTTCCAAATGTTGTATCACATAAATAGATTGTGGCAGATATATGCAGGATGGTCAGTGACATCATTGAGAAGCAAAGTTGTGATGGCAGTGAACCTAAAGTAATTTTGGGGGCATAGATGGATCAGAGAATTTAAATGATTCTGTTGTCTAAAACTTATTCAACTCTTTTTCTTTATTGATTAATTTGTATCAATTTTAGAATATATTGATGAGACTTTCTTACATTTAGAAGACTAAGGCATTGATTATAAGACTAAAAACTTTTTACCTCAAACAAATAACGGAAACAGTCGAAGAACAAAAGATGTTGAAGCTGATAAAATTATAATGGCCACCACTGACAAGGATGAAACTATAAACCTCCTCCAGAAACTCCCACCAGGTTAGTGTTGTTCATCATGTAATGTCCTGTATTGTATCGCTAAACTTATTATATTGTGCTTGTGCTGCTGCATGACACAGTGGTTGGTGTACAAATTTTTTGTAAATGCTCGTGGCTGGTGCAAAGTTTCCTCAAGGTGCTACAGGTATTGGTTTAGTAGACTGATACATTATTCTGTCCATAAATGCTTTGGATTGACGAGTCTGAATCTTGGGTTCGTGGTTCAGGGAAGAGGCGAACAAACTTTAGTAGATGAATGTACCATTAATTTTCTCAAAACTATTTCTATTTTATGTGGGTTGAATCAAAGGGTACAGAAAATAACAAGAAAGAGGTGATGATATGGTAAGGAAGACTGGTATAAGGTAAGTGAAGGAAGAGGATAGGAAAGAACTGAAACATCAAGGAAGAAATTATTTAGTCCTACCTTCTAGTTCCTATTGGGCAAAAGGTGTTATGTAAATATGCATTAATTAGAATAAATGGTTGATTGTGCAAACATGGAAAATAAGTGGTTAAATGAATGCTATGTAAAATAAGTGGTTAATGAATGCTATGTAAAATAAGTGGTTAAATGATTGCTATGTAAAATAAGTGGTTAAATGAATGCTATGTAAAATAAGTGGTTAAATGAATGCTATGCAAAATAAGTGGTTAAAAGATTGCTATGTAAAATAAGTGGTTAAATGAATGCTATGCAAAATAAGTGGTTAAATGAATGCTATGTAAAATAAGTGGTTAAGTGAATGCTATATAAAATGAGTGCGTGTGGTAATCATTGAAACATCTAAAAAAAATATATATATATAGGCAGTCCAACTGAATTGTAATATATTGAAAGGTATATATATATATATATTTTTTTTACTTTAATTACAGAGTGGACGGTGATACAGCTCACAAAGCAGAGTATTGGAGAGTTCAACTTCCTGGATATTAACACCCATCCTCCGACCCCAGGGCTGTTCCTGTCCCGCTGCTCCTGTGGTCCAAAGCCAATAGTAACTGTGCAGGTGTGTTTTATTATACTGTATAGAGTACAGGGGTGAGCAAGAATTGGTCATAACACTGTTGTCAGGAAGGGCTCAGGTGGGGTAAATGATGAGGGCCAATGAAAAATTCTCCAAGGCTGATCGCAAGTCAGGCCTGGTATTCATAAAGCTGGTTGATGCAGCTAATGTATTGGGACTAAGTAATTGGGAAATAATTAATTGGAATGTTTAAGTATTAATGGTGAATTTTCAATTATATTTAGCATAAAATTAGTGTGAATTAGCCAGTTTATGTAATCTAAAACCAGTTTGAAATACTGTACAGTAATTTTGCTTTGCCTTTGAATAGAAAATTAATCTTAGCATCCACTTTGGTTTCAGCCAATCCATTCCAGGGGTTATGTTCAACCCTAAGACTGGTCAAGTGACTTCTCTGCTCTCCTTAATTGGCCTGATTATTGTCTCACTCTGGCTGGCATCTAGTACCTAAGCATTTATATTATTTAGTTTCTGTAGCATGTGCTTGACTAGGAAAAACTGCCAGGTGTATATGTCTTCCTTAAATTTAGTGCAGCCAAATAAAAGGTAATGTGCTCTCAAAATAATATAAAGAGTAATAACATAAATGTGCAGTGTTTGAATGTGGAAGGAAGGAGAGCTAGAGGTAGGCCAAAAGTTATATGGGGAGAGGTAGTGAGAAATGACCTCAAGAGTTAAGAACCTGAAGAAAGAGGTCACAAGAAACTATACAGCAAAGTGATCTGCCGTCAAGTAAGTCAAACTAATCCACGAAACCTTGGAAAATGACTGTAAAAGTGTGATGGTGATGTATATTCTAGGTACAGTAGCAAGTTATCTAAGGGCCTTGGGAGGGGGGTAGGGCAATAACAAAACACACTTGTTGAGGCAGCCTGAAAAAAACAAAGGTGAGAGGGTCTGTGTTGCTCCTGACTCCAGCCATCCTGCACCATAGAGAAAAGGACGCAGCTAGACTATGAAAATTGTTTTACCGTTTCCTTTCAGAGACTATCGGAGATTAATAAAGTAAAAATACTGTATGTACAACAGGCTATAGCAGCCCCCAGTGCCGAGGGAGTGCGAGGATTCGGGCAGGAGCTGGAACTTATCAAGATGGAGAATAGAGGTATGAACAAGGATTGCCGTAACGACCCGGAGAAATACTTCAACAAGAGAGAGGAAGTTAATAACAGGCTTAAGGTAAGATTTGGATTATGTAAGTTTTTTTTTTTTTCATGTTCTATTTTCTCCCCATTTATGGCTTCTGCTGCATTTTTTTCTTTTGTCAAATTCATGTTTTTTTAAATACACTGTATCCAAAAAATCATTCTGTACCCAGACTATTATTTAAGATAACCATCAAGTAATACATGATAGGTGCTTACCAAAAATAAATTTAATACCGTATATTAGGATTACAGTATATAATTATATCAAGGGTCACCTAGAATTTCTGAAAGTTATTTTTTAACCAATTTTGTTAATTTATCTAATTGGGCACTATTTGTAAGTGCTGGTGGATGTCCTTTCTATCACACTGGTACTGTATTTGCTGGCTTGAAGTTTCTGTGGAGATGAAAGTTGTACCATTTGCATTATATAGCTGAGATTTACGTATGGAGCAATGTTTTACACGTTAAGATATTTGTTAAAAAATCTAAGTACAGTATAAGAACAGTTAAAGGAATAGAAGTACAGGTGCAGTAGAGTATATCTCCTGTGGTGAAAGTCCTGTACGTACTGTAAAAGTTGTTGCCATAAATTTTTACACTAAAGATTTGTATTTTTATATAACAGTGTCTCGTGAGGAGTATGGAGGTGTCTTGGCTCCGGCATTGGTGTTGTATGCTACCAGGGTCACTTGATGCTCGCTACCAACACCTATTGGAACAAACTACTGCTCGTATTCTTACTAACTCCGAGATACTGCTTACATCCTCTCAGAAGCAACTCTTACAGGTCAGAAATTTTAAAGTAATCTATACTGTTCATTGTAAGCTTTTTTCACTTCTTTGTTCAAGTTCACCAGGCCAGTTCAGTTCACCAGGCCGGTTAAATTCACCAGGCCAGTTATGTTCTCTTCCCAGTTTCTTAATGTGATGTAACTTCCCTAACTAGTATTGATAAAGAGATAAATGATCGTTTAGGTTATCTTGATCCACAGTTAGTGATGAGTTGCATACCACATCAAATTAAAGACCATTTCATGTATGTGTCAAGACAGTACGTATTCATTTTTTTCTCTCAAAATAGTTCAGAGATAAACTGATGTATAATTATATGAGTGGTATTTTTCTCCAGTGTATTATTAGCTGTCCATTACCAACGGAAAAACTCAAAGGCAATGAACAAGTGACCCCTATCAACATGCGTGCAAGTGTTGCAGCTTTACTTCAAGAGTCAGTGCGGAGTCAGCGCGTGAAAGACCTCTATGCTGTCATTCAAAGAGAAGAACGAACGTTGGATCGAATACGGCGAGCTCCAAGAAATCCAGTGATACTGATTTTGGATAGGGTATAAAAACTGATTTGAAGTTGACAGGGCAAATATAAATTAGATGCAATTGCAGGGTTTTAATTACAAACCCGGAACTTCTAAGACAGTGCAGTAAAAATCATGTGTTTACAGGCATTCTTTGATTTACAAAAGGTTTCTGTTGCTGAAAAACCTTTATGAATTTGATCACATTTTCCCATAGACTCCCTTTATAAAAGCTGAAATACATTCCTATGAAAAAATATAGAGCCAGATATGATTTTTTTTTAGTGTTATTCTCAGGTGCATTAAGTGAGGTGTAGCGCCTTGTTTCAGACCATCGTGTCTCTGCCGTGGGAGATGATGTGGGTGTTGCGGGATCAGCCAGTCACCCGCATGCCCAATCTTCGTATGCTCACCCTCTTATATCAGGTTTGTTTCTTTAATATTTATTTTTGTATCATATATTACCTAGTTATACAATAATTTATTTACATATGTTTTCTCTCACCCTTACCAAAATTTACATTCTGTATGTCTTCGGGCAACATTTGAGATTAGGTAAAATAACTACATCGTTCACAGGATGGAGTACGTGTTGATGAAATAATTTTCATTGTATACTTGAAACATTCTGTTGTTCCTCTAGAGAGACATTGCAGTTGTGTGGATGATCTGTGGAAAGCCTTTACATCCAGGCACTGAACCGCAGAAGAATTTGTAACCATGACGAACATTAAGTTTAAATATCTAATGTAGTGTTGGTTGACTTCAAGCTAATGAACATCATGGATGACAATTTTCAGGTTAACACACTGTCTCATCCAGAGACACAACTTGGATGATGACAGTACCTCTGGACTAAACTGTCTGAGAGGTAAAACTAACAAGGTTATGTTGTAATTACTGTAGTTGATAGTCATGCTTTTAAATGTGACACTACTTCAAAAATTAAGATGGATTAAGATTTTTTGCCGATTATATTGGACAGCCAGACGAAGGAGGAAGATAAGATTGTAGTTCTACTGGGACAGTCCATCTAGTACTTTACATGCCCCTAAAGTTACAAAGTACTTTACCGTGCATCTTATTTACATACTGTACTCATATACATGTACAGGTAGTTTACTATATGTATTTATATATCTCATACTGGTTGGACTTGTGACCAGGGCTCCCACAGATGGCTCACTGCCCATGCTCCTCCACTGCTTCTCTGCTATCCTGTATACTTAGTGCTTTACAACTCTTTGATATATGTACTGTACACCAATAATTTTTTTTTCTTAATCTACCTTTGACAGCATCACTCACTCCAAAGCTCAAGTGTTCTAGTTCAAGGCGTAGACCCGAGTAAAGGCTTCTACGTGTTAGATCCAGATGACAACTTGCCAAGGTCAAAAGAGCGCTTGAAGTCTTTTATTGAGAAGACTGGCTGGCCGGGTGTTGTTGGACGCAGACCAAATCATGCTGAGTTCAAGGGTGCCATCACCGAGCAGGATGTATTTGTGTGAGTGTTTTATTATTTTTTTTTATGACTTGGTCAAGTGAGCCCCAGTCCTAATGAGCCCCTACGTAACCATTGATAATGGGCTCCATTAGGACAAGGCCCAAATCTTATTGGTTTAGTTAGATTGGCTTGGGACTGTCAGCCAGTAGGATTACTGCCTTTTCATGTAGTTTGAGGTTTTTTTAACCAAGTATTTTATGCCAGTACTGTATATGCATATGGATATACATATTCATTATACATACAGTATTTAGGCAAAAGTTTTCTCTCTTTCCAAGATGTTGTAATACTTTTGGCCAAAAGTTTTAGAAAACATCATAACCATTCAAAGAATACATTTCTGCCTCAGAACAACCTTCAATATCTTGGATATATTGTTAATTCAGTGAAGTGTCTGTCAACTGAATACTTTAGAATCATGAGGCTTCTATAAAATGATTAGCTACTGTCATGAAAATGCGTTCAAGGAAATCATCTAATAAACCATGGTATTTTTGTCAGTTTGAGTGTACAGTATTATTAGTTTCTACAAGTACTTGGACACTAACTACTTCATTATTCTCTAACACTCTGTGTCATAAAGTCTACAAATAAGCCTCAGTGTGTCATCATTCTCTGACAGTTACCATAAAACTTACTCTTCAAACTCACTGGAGACAAGTAGACTTGTCATTTGCACCACCATGATCTTGTAGTAAGTGGAAAACGAGAGAAAAGAAAATTACTTTATTCTTTAGTTTATATTGAAAATAGCTACAGTACTCAAATCTTTGGTAAAATAGATTTTCAGTTGACATACTTTCCTTTAGCAGTTTTAGGAGAATTAATCCTGAGTTCAACACAATTTGTGGTTTTAAAATTTCTACATTCCAGGAATTTGGACCAGTAAATGATCATATAAACTATTTATCATCTACCTGTCATCTTTATGCCTTTCTTATGGGATTGACCAAGGGATACAGAGACCTCAAGGAAGAGAGTAGAGTGGGTCAAGACAAGTGACAGGCAGGAACTGAAACAGAGTAGAAATATTTCACACTTCCAAGTCTAATCTTTAACTCTCCTTGTCCATAGAACACTATTATCCCTCATAAGTGTGTATGTGTGGTGTTTTATATATATATTGTTGTATTTTTCCATTGTAATTTATATTGATAATTGGTTGTACAGTATTCATTATGTTAATATTTGATACCACCTATTATCTCACATTTTATAATCCACAGATATATTGGTCATGGTTCTGGCAGTCAGTATCTTCCCGGGGAGTTGATTGAGGTTGTGGAGTGTAGGGGAATAGATATTCTTTATGGCTGCTCTTCCGTGAGTTTAATATCCAGAGGACGAGTTCCAGAACCTTGGGGGGTCGTCCTTAACTACCTGTTAGCAAATTGGTAGGTGCCAATTTCTGATGCTATGTTTAATGTCTGAATTATGTGCTATAGGTTTAGTTCTTCTGGAGGTAGTTTTTTAATATTTAATATTCTTAGTTCTTACACTATAACTGCTCTGAATGTTTCATATTCATAATTTTGCTGCCATTTCCTGTGGACTGGTGATTTCTCCTCAAATAATATTTATTGACAGTTTACTCAGCATCTCTGAGAGAGACGTCTTAGTTTTCTTTTCATTGCCCTTTCGAGTTATATTCCTTTAATCTCTTGTGTATGGGTTCCCCTCTGAGCTAAATAAAATCGTATACTGTTACAAATAAAGTATAAAAGTAGTGTCCCCTAAGTGAAAGGGTTGAAATGGACTAATGTATTTATATATTTATATTGATACTTTCTCTTTTAGATGTGTGATAATTAATAGTTATTTTACTATCCTAACATACAGACATATGTTTAACTAGAGAAGTCAAAATTACCTTTAACTTTTCTTACTCTACTAAACTAATTATGCCACCCAAAATTTGATTGAGCTAGCTAAACTGGATTGTATTCATTCATCCATCCGTCTGTTCATCATACACCAGTAGCTGGTCCCTCATGATTATTTTGTTCAGGATCATTTATTAAAACTTGGACCACTTGTGTTTCATGACAAGGATCAAGGTTAAGTTTGCAAACCAGAATATACAGTACGTACAGCATTTGTTCTAAAGCATACACTGGTAGTGTATGTCACTGCCCGAGGTTAACAGGACAGAACTGTGAAGATTAACAGTAGTATTTACTTGCAGTTATCCATTATATTAACATGTTTTCAGTTTAATTTTTATTGTTTATTTATTTGTCCCTCCCTTTTTTATTAAATTGATTACGTATTCTGTATTGTATTTGTTCGTGGACAGCCCATGTGTGGTCGGAATGTTGTGGGACGTCACAGATAAGGACACAGATAACCTCACACGCGGGATGATACAAGCACTGCGAGGCCAAAAGGGCGAGTCGGGTTCCCCCTTAGCCAATCCCCCTTCTGACATCGCTCTTCTGGTTGCTCGATCGCGTTCATTCTGCCTCTGGTACATCAATGCCGCGGCACTGGCAGTTTACGGTCTTCCTCTGCACATCGTTAACAAATCAAGTGATTGAAATTTACTTATTTTTAATTTGGTTTTATATATAGTACTGTATACCAGTTATGAATTATATATTATATGGTACGTACAGGTTTTATTGAATGTGTAGAGAATGATGTATTTTCATAGAGTTTATTGATGATGTACCTTAACATACTGTTAATCCCTTGTGTATGGGCTCCCCTCAGTGCTGAATAAAATCATCTGGTATTAGTCAACCTAAATATTAAAAGTGGTGTCCCTGTACTGAAGGAGTTAATATACAATGTTTATTTTACATAACACTTTTATTTATTTATTTTACTATAAAAGCCTTACAACTGACATGTTTTATTATTTCTTTCCTTCTTGGGGTGGCGTATAGTCTCAGGCAAGAGGGAGATGTGCTTGATCTCTTATGCGACAAAGAAAATCTTTGAGCCTACCACGCCACTTGTATCTAGTCTTAAATCCAAGCAAATTCTCTTTTATGTTGAGAATACTGTACAGCCATTACAGGTATGGGGATGTTCTTTGGGATTTTTAAGTAGAGTTTAGCAGTTCTGGTCATTTTTGAGGTTTGTGGAACTCTTGAAGAATAATCTGTGATAATTGTTGTACGTATTTATATAGGTACTCAAAAATGGCTAAGAATGCACTGATGTAACTCATACATTACTTACCTCATTTTCTTAAATTTTTCTTAATATTTTCCCCTCATAACTTTTACTTCATTTTCTCCCATAACCTTTTTCATTAATTTTCCTCAATATTTGTTAGCCATTTTCCCTACAGTATTTTTCAAACTTGTGCCATATCGTGTGACCTTCCCCACAGTATCTAGAGTACAATATATTGGTGTTTGTCCAATAGAGTTTTATGGTTCACTAGACAACTTAAACTTAGGATCACTTGAAGATTAAACATCTCGGCTTATTTTGCCTGATGATTAAACACTGTAACTTAGATTAATCTAACCTAACCTGGTTTAATCTATCCTAACCAAACTTAATTTAATCTAACTTGAACATAAGGGGCAACCATTATGATATATTCTGTAGTGTGTGTGTGTGGAATAGCTGGGTATGTGTATATGTTGACTTGCTTTCAGTACCCTACATTATAGTTACAAAAGGGTAAAAAAGAAAAAAAAAAAGAAAAAAAAAGTTTCCACCAGTTATTATTATGCAGCTTGTAAAATGAAGAATACACATGTATTGAATAACTCTGGCTTGATGGTTGGGTATTAAATGGAATAAGACTAGAAATGTTTATTTTAGTTGTATAAAACACAGTAGGATACAGAACTACAATAGTCAGAATGAACGTGCTCGCTCACAGAGATGATTGACACTTGTAACAAATGCTGCGAGATAGCTGTCTGTATCTGTATTTTCGCAATATAGTACAGAAGACTTAATAGCACATTATTAATAAAGAAAATATTAGAGGTATCATGAAAAACCTCTATTTAGTCCTTATACTGAAGTGGATTATATGTATATATATATATACTGTACCTTTTTTGGCCATGCATCTCTACAAGTGTCAACTCCCTCGTCAGTTCTGATTTGATAACTCTGACCTGACTGGGAGTTGACCGTCTTGACCTAACTGAAGATTGACAGCTCTGGCCTGACCAGGAGTTGTCGGCTCTGCATTTCACTTTATATAGCGATGCTGATCAACTGAATCATAAGTAAATTTGCTTTATATATTGTAAAGCACATTCCAGAATGGCTATCTTTTTCACAAGTTTACTAATGCTGTACTGTAATTTGATTTATATGTTAAATGTTCATTTTTCTTCCCATCAACGAAAATATGCATACAGTATAGTCTTTATATTTCAACAGTGTGACTGTGTGGCAATTTAAAAACAGAAGGTTATAAATGCAGGGATTGATCCAATATTTTTAAGGGGGTTAACAAACCTCTTTTGCTAAACAGAGACGAATCAGTATCCAGAATAGACATTCATGAGCAATAATAAGCCCTTTGTCCTATTCAAGAACTGTGTTTCTCAGGTATGGTTTCACTACTTGATGCCAATATCAGAAAAGGTTATCAGGTGTTGATTATGGAGGAACTGGATCTATCACTGAAATGCAACACTTTTGTATGCAAGACACAGCAGATGTTATCGTTGGTGACAGGTGTTAAATCATACATGCCACTCTTCACTGATAGCAAACTTGTTAAAAAGGAAATGTGTACAGACTTAGAACACGAGTAACATAGCCGAGTGTAAAGCTCTGCTCGTACTTCTTTTAGGTAGCTAGAAGTCGGGGTACCCTGCGTACTTTAGTAAAATACCTAAAGCAAATGCATGAGCAAAAGGTGAACAAACAATGGGCGGTCCTGTCCATTGCCTTGTCATTTGTGAGGATTGTCAAGGGAGGTCTTATCTCCTCCCTTAGTGTAAGGCCAAGCTGACAAATGCAAGTACGACAGCAGCATAAATGTTGAATGGAAGTTATTATAGCATATGGTAAGGAAGGCCTTAAGAGTAAATTAATTAACTATTGTCTGTTTTATTGTTCTCTTTTGAACTGTCTGGAGAGTAACAGTGTTTTGGATTGTTGGAGAGAGAGAATGATAAAGCTGACTGATACCTGTATAGTATCACAAAGCCAAAGGTGATACTGTACTGGCTTTGCAATAACAGTTATTGTGATTGATACTTTGTAATAGATATCACCATGACCGATATTGTGAGAGATAATCGAGATTAATATTGGGCTACAGATCACTGAGACTGATACTCTGCAAAAAGAAGTCATTGAGTAAAACAGGACTTGTAATTGAGATTGACAATAATAGAAGTCTTTGATGTTGAATCTTTGTAAGAGAGGTCATGAATGTGTTAAGTGAAGAATGAGGAAGGTGTAATGAATTGTGTTATGTATTAAGTGTTAAAATGATGTGTTGGAAAGAGATTTTTTGACACGAGTACTGGTCTTAAAAACCTTGGATGAGCTTTACTGGACGTAGATATATTGACAATTAAGATATGGATGGAATGCACACACATTTAGTTAAAACTTTGAATAGTTGAAGGAAATGACCACACAAAATAACTTTCTCTTGCTCTTCATGGAGGGAGATCTGACCCAATCAAAATTTACTGTATATTCTGACATCAGGACATAGTAATTGGAGATGTATCACTATTTAGCTATCAATGTAATTTACTGCTTTACTTTCCATACCAAAGCTACAGTGATAATGTACAGTATACTGGTGCTTATAAAAACGTTAAATTTTATTTGATCCTCGTCACATATAAAACCTTGCTGAATATTCTTCAGAACTTTTACTGGTACCAACAAGTGTATACCAAAGCCACTTTAGAATTCATGAGCATCGACTTTTCCGTCATCACCATCAACCTCCTGATAGTCATTAACTAGTTGTGCAACATTTTCTTGAGCAATTCCCAGCTCAGAATCTTCAAGACCAGCCCCAACAAACCAGTGTACAAATGCACGCCTGGAATACATGAGTTGAAACTTATGGTTGACACGAGCCCAGGCATCTTTGAAGGCAGTAGTGTTGGCCAGCATGCATACAGAACGACTCATCTTGGCCAGGTCTGCTCCGGGCAGTACCTTTGGACGCCCACCATTAATTCCCAACTTGAATCCTGTAGGACACCATTCCACAAACTGGACAGATTTCTTGAGCTTTATGGCTGATATTGCTCTCTGCACATCATTTGGTGTTACATCACCACGATATAATAAACAGCAAGACATGTATTTACCAGTAGCTGGGTTACATGTTGCCATCTGCATGGCTGGGTCAAAACAAGCAGTGGTCATGTCAGAAACAGACTGCTGCTCACGATAAGCATTGTCAGCTGATACAATTGGAGCATATGTCATCACTGGGAAATGTAGGCGAGGAAGTGGCACTAGGTTGGTATTAAAATCTCGCACATCTACGTTAAGGGCACCATCAAAGCGGAGAGAGGCTGTAGCTGCAGACACTACCTGTGCTACGTGGTGGTTTAAGTTGTTGTAAGTCGGGCGTCCAATTCCTAATTTATTCACGCACAAGTTATATGTGGCCTCATTGTCGAACACAAAGACACAATGATCATACTCCATGGTTGTTGATGCATGGAGGATAGTGTTGTATGGCTCCACCACAGCTGTTGACATTCGTGGAGATGGAAATGCACAGAATCTCATTAAGCTGGTGCTTGGGTACTCCTGGGCCAGCTTCTCCAATAGCAGTGTCATAAAGCCAGAACCAGTACCACCACCAAAGGAATGGGTACATATGAAGCCCTGTCAGGAGAACAAAACATTAACTTATTAAGGTACTACTAGCTGTTAAATTTTGATGATTAAGTTGTACAATTAATGAAAACATAAAATATGTGACTTTCAAATATACAAGACCAGACTCAGGCAGTATAAGTGAACCATGTTATACTATGGAACAGTCTAGGATTTACCAAAATGGACACAAAGATGAGGCTTTTATGCAACTCTCTACCATCCACTACATACACAACTAGGATACAGATTTATCACATAAATTGATAAGTTACTGTATGGTTGAACTGTCCAGCATAAGTTTAGACACATATCATGACCATAGGGAGAAATTACCGTGTCTTACCTGCAAACCAGAACAGCCTTCAACCTGCTTTCTGATCCGTTCTGTTACAGCGTGCACCACTTCCCGGCCAACAGAGTGACGACCTCGTGCAAAATTGTTAGCAGCATCCTCCTTGTGTGTGATCAAGTCAGCTGGATGAAACAAGTCCTGATGTGTCCCTCGCCGGATCTCATCTTCCAAGGTAATGATCATGATGTATTTAAATCAACTTGTACTATTACAGTGCAAAAATTTGACAATTCACTAATCTGAGAAGAAAATGTAAGTTTGGAAAAATATATGTAAATTTCTTATTGACCAATGCTAATTGCTGAGGTCACCACTGGTATAATTTACTATTACTGAGGAAGAACAATACTGGAAGCTTGATCTGTGCAACTATATCAAGAGACAGAAATACAGGGGTAATGGAAATACACCAAGATTTTCTGAAATACCCTGTATATACAAGTAAAAGCTGACAACATGAACTTATTACATGACAAAAAATCAGTACTGTACAGGTATTATACTAACAGTTGAAAAGTATCAAGACTAGCAGGCATCGAAAGTTTGTGTATCGTGAATAAAAGGAAACAAAGTAAGCTTCATACACAATATATACGGTACCTGTACTGTATATACAGTACATGCTCATGGAAGATATACTGTACTGTATATTAACAAGTTTAATACTGTACTGACCTACAACAGAGGGCTCAAGGTCAATGAAGATAGATCTGGGAACCATTTTGCCATCACTTGTCTCAGAAAAGAAAGGGTCCAGGGATGACTCTTCACTGCTGTTATGAGACATTTAACTCTTAGTACAGGTCAGGGCATACTGTACATACATCAACAGCAAGAGAGGGTGCTGATAAACTAAATAAATAATCACTTAATGGTTGTTACTGAAATGCAGCCCTTGAGATCTTGTATCAGGATACCAAAAAACAAATGGGAAAATAATCTGTTCACTGTTTTTGCTTATCACATGTACTTATGGAGGAATAGTGATCATAAAAATGAAGACTAAATTAATAAAAAAGCACTACCTGGCATCTGAGTATGCCGTAATGGCTGTAAAATGTAACTAACATAAGAAATGGGTGAATAAAATCATCCATAATGTGAATAGGCACATGCTACAGACAGTTGTATAGATTTAATGTTGTATACATTAGTAATGGATTAGGAGATATAGGTACAGTATTTTGAAAGATCTGTCGTGTACAACTGCATGAACAAATACTTGTGAACTCAAACCTACGTAATACGAAGCAAGAGAGAATATAGGAGATCATACTCACATGGCCGGGTATGGTACACCATCTGGGAAGATGCCATGTTCGAGGCAGTACAGTTCCCAGCAAACTCTCCCAATCTGAACTCCTGCCTGACCCACGTGCAGTGACAACACCTGCCGCCCGCCACCCTGCAACATACACACATCTTACTCGTGTGTTGAAGAGCTTCTTCAATACCTGGTACAGAGACATAGTTCTAGGAGCTGTCTTGGTAATACAAGAGCAAGGAGTAACATAAATCTGGGGAGGTAACTTGGTTGGAGTAAAGTTCTCGGGAGGTAACATAACGGGTAAGTGCTAGGAATATGACATGTTCTGGGGAAGAAAGGCAAGTACTTAGGAGTAGTGCCAGTTATGGGGTGCCATGTTGGTGGCACAGATGCAAAGGGTAACAAATTCTAGGGAGCTACTTTGGTAACATAAGAGCTAGGAGTAACAAGTTCAAGGGAGCTACCTTGGTAACATAAGAGCTAGGGGTACCATAACACAAGTTGGGGCACTATGCTCTAACAAGGATGCAAAGAGATACACAGGTTCTGGGATGCTGTTTTTAGAAGAACAGTTTCTGAGAATATCACCAGTGATAACAGCGTGCCTCAGTTGTGCAAGTGCCGGGAGCTGCCAGAATATCAACACTTACTGAGATCCTTTACAGTATAGTAATACGGGTGCTGTGGAAAAGCTGTGAAATTCAGAGTACAGTGCTGTACTTGTGAAAACTTTTTCTTTTTAATATAGTCTGCAGCAGTAATGTATGAATATTTATATTAATGGTACTGTAATGTTAAATGAGTAAAGACAATAATAATAATATGAAAAGCAGGTTTGAAGAACATGTGGTGTCATAGCCTATATTACTGTAGCTGTATTTTAAGTTATGAGAAATGTTATAAAAACATAATTTACTGATGAAGGCACAACTGGAAATGATTGAAAATTGGGATTAAATAAAATGTATTGTAGTTATACCTTTATATATATATATATATATATATATATATATATATATATATATATATATATATATATATATATATATATATATATATATATATATATATATATATATATATATATATATGACAACAGAACACTGTACAAATGAAAAAGTATACCTGTACTATTGTAAGATGAATTAAAATTTGAAATTAGTCTTCAGAATGGGCATATACAGTACATACTTATTAAAAATTCATTACTGTATATGATTTGAAAGCATATTTTTAATGATAACTAAAACACTAATACAAATACATGTACTATATACTGTACTGTATTTGCAGTTTATAAATAATATACAAAAACTAAAAGTACTGTATACTTGGTATTTAAAAAAATGAAGTGAATATGTATTTTATATTCATACTGTATTTTGTTTTTTCTTAAAGATGAAAAATGTAATTGTATGTTACTAAAAAAAATATAATTTCCAGAAAAAAAGTTGTAGCTGCAGTAGGTATGTTGCTTTTGAGGTCTGACTGAGGTGAAGGAATGCTTATGTTACAGTACAGTACCAATAGTTTAATGAGGAAATGTGTTCAATGAGCTGGAAAACCAGTTAAGTTGTTGTTGGGAAATAAGTCATGCTGACATTCATTGAAATGGCTGAAGGTGAAATGGGCCCCCAATCTTAGTAGGCCCCAACCTGATCTAACTGGACTACTGGTATAAGGACTGAGGCCATTTAGGAATGGAGCCCCATGAAACTGTGGGCCATAAAAATTTGGCCCAAATCCAAGAGGTTTGGTGAAGTTAGGTATGACTAGGTTAGGTTTTGGTTGGGGCCTATTAAGACTAAGGCATATTTGTCCTGTCATAAGGTGAAACATTCATGGTGCTGAAAAATGCCATTGCGTTTAAAGAACAGTTAATATTCTGACCTCCACACGGGTTCTTTTAATATTTACATATTTTCACTTGTAAGTTAGTACTGTACAGTTCAGTACCCTGTACTTGATAAAGCGAAGAGTACCATTACAGGTCTATGAGAGTCATCAGTATTTCCCCAGGGTACAGTAGTACAGTATTACAAAATATAAAAGGTTTTGAAATCATTTTAACAGATAGAACAGAGAGTATTAGTCTTGTTAAAAATATTGCACTCTATACGATACTAAGTTATTTGAAGAAGAAAAAAAATCGCCTTAAAAATTCTAAATACTGTAGGTTAATGGAGATACGTCCTTACTTCCCAAACAAACTCGTGACTTTTAGTACCAGAAATCTTTGACAAATGTCATTTAAAAGTGTAATTAAAAGAACAAAAGTTTGACCTATTAAAATTACAGGTAATAATTATATTTTGTTCCACCAGAGAAAAGTTATTCTTAGAATTATTGGGGCAAAATATACCCTAAAATTTAAAAAAGGTATACCCTAAAATTTAAAGAAGGTAGTACAGGCATACAGTATTCTACAGTAATAAAAAACTATTTAAGTGAATTGTGGTACTGTACTGTACTACATCATTGTATCTGGGCATGGACTTCTATTTCTTTTTTGAAGTTAACAGTACCAGCAGCAAAGACTTATTCCATTATGACATAAGTTAATATCTGTGAAGGTACTGTAGACCATTTAAAAGTGTGTAAAAATTTGGAACAGTTACGTTATTTTAACACGTCTCTTCATTACAAATTAATTATGAAATGATAGATGGAACATAAGTTTAAAATGTTCAGCACTTTCTTTTTCTCAGTCAGTCATGTAATTTCAATACTGTATAAAATATATCAGTTTCAGTTGCATATTTTATCTAGCCTTTAATAAGAGGTTTTGTTATCACTCACAAGGAATTATTTTTACATTACGAGACTGTGAATACAATCTACTTGGAATGGACTACTGTTTGTGGTTAAGTTTTTACATGAAAAGCCACGACACTGTATTAGTACATTATGAAGTAACATTATGGTATAGTTCTCTAAATCAAATGAGTGCTTCACTTTATGCTTTTGAATTAGTTAAGTGTGCTATTAGTTTTGTATTAAGAACCTACAGTACTGTAGTTGGATTCCCTGATGTGTGTTTAAGTTGCAAATGTAAGTAATGACAATGGCTATGGCCTCAGTTATGTGATAAGGTTTTGTTATTGCCAAAATTGCATGTTAGAATGGATTAGATTTCCAAACATGGCTGTTGATACGTGCTCCCTTTCCTTTACTAAGTTTGATAATTCCAGTCACCGGGCAGACAGATGCGTTAGAGTATTAGGTATCTAATCAAATACACCTGCCATTTCATGAATATATTATTTAAATTACCTTTGGTGCCCACAAAAACAATCAACAAGGTTCTTCCCATCCTGATACTCCAACTCTGCAAAGACACTCCAACACAGCTCTGTGAATGACAGGTCATCAGTGGCTAAGCTATGATCAGTGTAGTAAATGGGCTGACACTGATACCTTCACTGTCTCTAATAGTGCATCTACTTGATACTGAGGAATTAGCTGATCTTCAAGTCTTGTTCCTGAAAAACTAAAACCATCAAAATATAATCTGACTACAGTATATTAATTGTATTTTGGTCTGTAGGTTTTAAATCAATTAAATTCTGAGGATGTTCTCAATGACTGCACTCTGAGGATGTAATATAAAATAGTAATTACAAGACTACTCTGGACATACTTCACATATATATGTAATTGTACAAACACCTAAAACCCTGAACACCTTTTACTGTTACATTACCTAATATTTTTACTCTCACATTCACTCATGTTAATTGAATGGATTCAGCACTTGTATAAATCTGCCAATGCCAACCCCTTAGTGGAAAATAATAATAAGTGTGACATTTAAACTAATTGTTCCTTTAACACCTAAAACAAAACTGTCAAAGAATATACTGATGACCTACATTTGCTAACTAACTTTACTTCTTATGGACACGCAGAACCCAAGTGGCATGCGGAGTGGAGTCAGGTGTTCAGGTCCGCACCGTATCAGCATTGTGGGTGGAAGTTGAGTCGTGGTGGTTGGCGGTGGCCAGCGAGGACGATGACATTACCGCTGATGAAGAGTCTTGGGCAACACCTTTGTATTTTGCAATTAACTCTGCATGACTAAGGTATGGTAATCTTTCCTCTTCTGTGCCATTTAACACATTTTGTGTTGTGGGACAGAGACTTTCGTAAATAAATATCTTTGTGCCATGCAGCATCCTAGAGCGTCTGAGAACAACATCTCTGTCAATGGGGTTACAAAAAATGACAAGAACTGAACGTGGTCGGCTACATTTCCGTTGGCCCACTCTGTAAACTTGCTCCAAGGGCACATCTGACATCTCCAACTTTTCTTGAAATAGAGTCGTCACTGTAGCCGCCAACTGTAGCAGTGTCTCTGGCTCAGCTTCCAGTATACCTTCTATACATAGACTGTTGTGACTGGTCTTATCAACACAACTGTCTTTAGATTCTAGGTCTTCTACTAGTTTGCTGGAGGACTGAATTTGGTCTTGCCACCTCATAGTGGTTCGTTTGTCTTCATTTTTTTCTCTTATAAGCTGCTTTACTTGATATTTTAAGTCGGCTACATCAGCTTGAATATATTCAAGACTTTTGGCTAAATCCATTATCTGTGCTTGGGAAGCATCAATTTTATTTGTCAGCTGACTGACAAACAACTCCATAGCATTTTTATATGCTTCATGCTGAATGTCAATTAACAGCTTTATTGCGGCTGTATCCATTGTTGCTTTATGAAGAGGAAATCAATACTATCGATCAACCTTTGAGTTAGTGTTGCTGTTGATGATGAAATCCGTATCCAATACTGTACCACTGAAGCGACTGAGACTAATGTTATAACTACTTTTTAAATTTTGCCAACTTTCCATCCATTAACATTAAAAATTCATTAAATCTACGGTATATATTTTCACTGTTCTGCACCTAATCCATTCATGTTCAAGTTCTCACAATTTAAACGAGATCCAAATAACGACATCGTTCAACAAGAGTTTTGAATAACACAGCGTCACTTTGGCAACTGCATATATTTTTGACAGTGTGACAACAGTACTTCTTGCCTGGCACGCTGAACTTCGTGCAAATAGTACCAACACAACACCTTTGTTTGTAAACACAGCGGCCAGTGACACTACCCGGCCCCGGCACCACTCAACCACTGTCACGCAATTACTGTTTCCAACGATCAGAATAATATATTATTGAATAGATTACTTAAAAAGAGTTGAGTTGTGATGATTAATGAGCAGTAAAAAATGTTTCCTGCTGCATTTGTATCCGCAGTAGAAAGATACCCGAACAAAATCTAAAAGGAAGACTGAATCTGGGTTCTGGGTTGGAATGCGCCGTGCCACAGAGCGCAACACGTTGTACATCGCCGGGTGTTAGATAATTACGTATTACCGACGCAAGTTGGGAGGGTTTACCCACAGGTTTCCAGTCAGATTTCAGATTCTATTATAGAAATGGTAAGGTTTTAAGACAACTTTATGTTAACCTTTTAAACCAAACAAAAGTTTCGAAATACTTATACCTGTAGTTCGATTTCGGAACTATTACTGTAGTACTCATTTTTACAAGTAAAGTTGAGTAAACGTTCCTGAGAAGCACCAGTCGTACATGTATACTTCTCAAACCTGAAAATTTTACATCTCAGTTATAAGGCTTCGGTGTTTTATGGTGTTTCCTGTTTGGCTTCAGGTGATGTGGTGACAAGAAATTCAGGGGGAAAACAATCTGATATTGACAGGAAACAACTTTGTCCGATATAAACGATCGATATCTTAAATATTTTCATCAATAACGGAACTATTCGTGGTAGATTTTCCTTTCATTATATGTACAAAATAAATCTGCACATATATATAAAAAAAACATTTCTGCACATAAATAAAAGACAGTTTCACATATTAAACGACCACATTTGACCTCACTTCTAACAATGGATAGATAAATTTGTCACGTCATCTGCGACTTTCAATTATACCCATTTTAAGTAATATTTCAGGAAAAAGGTGCAGTCTTCGATTTATTGAGTCTTTATAGTACATAAACCCTGGAGCCCAACTTAACCTCACCAAACCAAACGGCAATCTTACCCACTAAAATTTACTCTTCCCTTGGTTCGACTGATTAAAAAAAATCGAGTTTTTACTTAAAATTTTAATTAACTGAACTGGGTGTACATGTACTGTAGACCATCAGAAATACATTAGACGTGACACATTACTAGTACCGAACAGGGTATAACAAGTTAAGATCATAGTACTGAAATAAGAATCCGCCAGTTTATTTTTTTGTAGTCGAGTAACATGGAATAAACTTGATCAGTTTGTATACAGTTATAAAGCTTAAGTATTAGGCGATCTATTTCAGGTAAGTTTCACCCATTGTATTTATTTTATTGCGGTTATATCCTGACTACGAGGAAAACCCCAAACGTCATGATACCCTGTAATGGGCATGTACCGGCTCCAGAATGTATGAGTAGCTGCTTCAGTGTTGGTCAAGTGTGGTCTAGAATGAGCTTACAGTCGGTGCTATCACAACACTTTTCCATAACATCTCCCGACGTGGACAGAGTGACAGGATGCGCGTCAGCAAACAATCGCTGGCATCAAATTCCTAACCTTCGGCTCTTGAATGTTTGCTTTCTTAATTCAGTTAGTGTAAAGTGAGAAAAACAATTATTAAAATTTCTTGAGAACTAACACCCACTAGAAGCTATTTGATAACTTAAGCGCTTATTAAATGATTTAGAGACAGATAAATAAGTGCATTCGAAAATAAAATGCATACATAACTAAATGTTCAACTCAGCGTCATTTTAAAGTGACATCTCGCTGTAATCCGAGTCCGCCAAGGAGATTCTGTCAAGCGGTTCTTTGTTAAGACGAATAGGAAATGGCGTTTAGCTCATATGATTCTCCTATCCCGTTTATATTGTATTTAAACTGTAGCGTCATTGTGCTCTGCAGGCGGGCAACAATATCTTCTGATATTACCTGTAAAATAACGCGGCGATATTAGTTGCCGACCACAAACCACAAAAAGCGGACAGAATATACTTCCTATACCACTAGTCCCATGCCAGCAAGTCCACTTAAACATTTAATAGTTTGATAGAAATTACTTCCTTATATTTGTTTTCGTATTGAGAGTATTACTATTTTTTTTTACAGAATTGTGGAAAATTATCAGTGAATTTTATATTTGAGATTCGGTGTGTAATTAATATTTGAGTTAAATGATAATACAGTATAAACTTTTTCCATGTAGAAGGCACTTTTATTATTATTATTATTATTATTATTATTATTATTATTATTATTATTATTATTATTTCTATTATTATTAGTAGTAGTAGTATTATAGGAATTCTTTCACCCCCTGATAAATTGTATATCTTTAGGTTGATATAAAAGACCTTATACTTGGGTGTTCGTAAATTACCTTGTATGATCGAGTGAAAGTACAAACAGTTACAAGGCCATTATTTCATCAGACCACAGCTGTACGGAGTTAAATCTGCTTTAGTTTACTTAATTCACATTTTCTCGAGGTTGATAGTGTATATATTTATATTATTGTAAAGTTAATAGCATAGTCATTTTTGTCTGTGTATATTTAAAGTCGTGTTTATTTATATTTGTTCGGATTTGTGTGATGAGTTTACGTCACATTAATTCATGTTTATTGTAAATTCGAAATGTTATTATAATGTGTTATTTTAAATTTATTATCTCATTTATGCATATATATTATATACAGTATGTTAATTTTTGTTTTGTATAGTTTACACGGCAATTATTCATATTTATATAAAGTTATATTAATTCCTTTGTATGGAGTTAATATTATTTTATTTGTCGCATTGTGAAGTTCTTGTTTTTCACAAATAAATTTAAGTTAATATTCATATGAAGAACAACCAGTGAAGTGACAAACATCCTTGGCAATTGTGTAACTAGAGTCTAAACACGCATCGCATTTCGTGTATTATCAGTGCTATTTAAATAACGTTGTCTACTATGCATACAGGAAGGAAATACAAAAATTCATTATACAGTACTAGCTAGGATGTCCGTCGGAGCCTGGATTTGTTTTTAACGAAGTACAGTTAACTAGAGGAGGGTGGGCCCGTCCCCTAGAATTAAATGGATAGCTCATAGCCTGTGTCCGTCCTTGATCAAAATTAAGAGCACATAGAAAAAATAACCACACCAAATTAGTGCCCTGCATGTTAAAAAGTGATCGTGCACAAGGAACCCACTATTAGAATTCCGTCAGCAGTCCCAGGGCCCTTTACACAAGCATATCCAATTTCAACTCTTATCTTAAAATCCTTAGCCATGCTTAATAAAGAAACAGAAAATTAAATGTTCTAAATAAGGGCATCAACCTTTAGGGGTGGCGGTGGGGGTGGGGGCGTACACTGGAGCCTACCCCCAAAATTCCATCTTCGTGACACTCATTAGGTGTATGTGCATCTCCATCGGCTTTATATTTTCAAAACTGTAGCCGTGTATATCGAACAGCCACACAAACACACAAGCAGACAGTGTGATTTATGTATATAGAGGTGTATATATTAAGTGCAGTGCAGTGATTGGGTTGTGCAAGTCGGACGGTCAGTATTGTGTGTACAGTACCGTATCTGTAAACCCGTAGGAATACCTCATAAATATAAAGTACTAGTCTCCATATTTGGTATATACTGTACTGTACATTCATCATGACAATCTCAAGAGTTGATGTGTTTACGAGGGTGCAAAAATTGAAGACTTGAGCCCTTTAGGATTTGAGGTCTTATTGGTTGGGTTCAGCTAGGTTAAAGGGTCTAGATCTGGAGCCCAATTGAACCGTCACGATAAAGGGGACACAGTTAAAATCTCCCTCACGGTCAAGGCTAAAAGGCTTGCATGATTCACCGCCATTCTACTCTCCCTGGAATGCTTATAAAATAAACAATTCAGAAACCTTTCCAATACCGGATTAATTTTGATAACAGTATCAGTGCGCAAAACAGTGACTTAATTCTCTGTTCATCATATTTTTTATAATTTCAAAATGCAGTAATCGTTACAAAGGAATATAACAAGTTTTGATATGGCTGTTTTCTACCAGGTATATATAATTTTCGTGACAAGTTGCGCTAAATTTATTCTGGTCAATGTTTCGTCTGTTTGTAATTCTTGAGATCTCGTGGCCGTGGCAACAGCGTCATGCAGAAGTGATCACAAATGGACGACAAGGAAATGACAATCAGAAAGATATTGAAAATTTTTGCCTCCAATTTATTATAGTAAAAATATATCCTTATTTTGAACATTTTTAAATTATTTGTTGTTGAAATTTAAAATCAAACGAGCCGTTGTTGAAACAGTATCCCGAAGGCCTTTTAAGATGATGAGTGGAGGAGGACCTACAAGCCCTGACAGTTGAACCACAAAAACATCAACAAGCGTCGTCAAAGAACCCGTTCTCGGGATGTTTACACCTGAAGCCGCACCTCACCGACGCCACCACCTTATAAATAAACACTACAAAGATGGTCACCAGGCCAAACCAACTGCATACATGAACCTTGACTTCTGATCTCATTCTTCCCAAATGTGGTATAATTTTTACCATTTAAGATAATTTACTAAGACACATATACAGTTAACCATAACGTGAGTGTTTGAGTTGATCTTGACCCGTGACCTAGTGTACCCAAGGGATTTTTTTTTACCTAACCTAACCAACCCATCTGACACGACTCATTAAAAAACTCACACACACAACGAATTCAATAATCCCTTCACCTTAAGGAATACGTTTATAATAACATCATATTCAGTTGATAGAGTTGATTCACTTGTATCTCTTATTTAGAAAGGATAATTATGTCCACACACAGGTATTATAAAGACACAAACTGTATTTATCTGTAAAGAGAAATCATTTTATCACTCATATATTAAAACATCTTGTATATAAAGCTAATGAATCTCTATCTTTATTTCTGCTGACCGACATACAGTAGTCACCGTGATTTTCTATATATTGTATTTTAAAGGTTATTGTATTTTACTTTATATATCAAACATTAATTAATACATAAATTATTTGATATTTACAATATATTTTCTGTCTAAATTATATAATATTCACTGGGTAATCTTGAGAGACAATTGGACGAACATTAGGCAGATCAAGAAGTGTGACCAGCACGTCCTGACTCCCTCCCGAGTGTGTGAAGCAGCGCCACTAACCAGCCCGCCCGCTTCAATACTGATTAATGTCTCGCAAGTGGATAAAGACTTAAATACACAGGCCTGATGTACTCACCCTCAGTAAGACTCACTCGAGGGGTTTCTGGACTCTAGATAGGGTGACTTAAGGCGTTATAAACTCGTGAGTCTTTCTATTTAGGCTTAAGTGGTGTAAATTTATTCTGGACAAAGGCTTCGACTCTTATGTCCAAATCTTCCTCCATCTGCATGACAATATCTTCATCTGGTCAGCACTAATTGATCATCATA